TGATTAAAATAAGCCGAATTAGGACTTACTTCGAAATAAAAACTAAAAAGAACTGCTATAAACGTTGAAAATAGTTATTAAGGAAACATATTTCTTTTTTAAAGAATTTAGTTATTTCTGCCCTACACTAATGGAAGAGACACTTTCAATTGTTTTTGAATTTCTCAAGAAATACTTACAGGACTATTCTGCAATTTTAGAAGTGTGTGGTTCATGCGATATTTCATGTAGTCTAAAGCGTTTGGCGGTTTAAGGGACCAACAATAAATTACAAAAGAAAACAAGAATTTTTGATCACCCTATGCCAAAATATCAAGCAATAAGCTTGTAACTTGCATCGATTGCTTTGGTTGTTATTTGACCATCACTATACATCTAAGATATTAATTCTGAAGAAGCATTAATCGTCGTATTGATGTATCTCTACACCAGTGATTCTCAACCATTTTTTTTGTTGCGGCACACTTTCAACGATTTCGAAATTTGACGGCACACAATGAAAAAAAATTAGATTAAAAGTTGTTTACTTACCTTTTATACACTGTGTTAAATAGTTTGTGATAATAATTTTGACTGTGAAATAAAATAATATGTACTACAAAAGCACGTTTATTAAGGGATTAATTATTTCTTTCGACAAATTTTTTATAAGTTAGTAACAGTTTTTTTTGCTAGTTATTAATTGTTAGCTTGTTTTCGATAATTATTAACAGTTAGTTTTTTTACATTAACTGTTATTTTTTTGTTATTTCTTGTTAACTAGTTTTTTTGCTAATTATTAATTGCTTGCTTATTTTTTTTGTTAGTTATCCTTTGTTAATTTGTTTTTTTATATATTTGTTTTTTTAGTTATCCTTTGCTAATTTGTTTGTTAATTGCATAGCTTACTTTAATGATTAGCTTTTATTTCCGTTTGAAAGTTAATATTTAGCTTGCTTTCCTTTGTTAATTAATAATTTTAACAGTCATTCAATTTCCAACTTATTTCAACATTTTTTAAAATTGTGTGTCAAAGACAATTTAAACACTTCTAGCTTATTTTAAGATTGTCAGAGACAAGACAATCGAAGATGTTCACGCTGTTAAAGAGTGGAAAAATTATAAAAAGTATATATATATGCACTTTTCTTTAATTTAAACTTTACTCATAATAAAAAAAAAACATTATAATTTTTATTGTATCATTTCTAATATTTGGCGGCACATTTTAAGAATTTGGCGGCTCACAAAAGTGCCTCAGCACAGTGGTTGAGAATCACTGCTCTACACGATGAATTAAAAATTGTTGCTATCTATGCACGAATAGATAAATCGAAGATTGTTTTTTATTTCTTTTTTATATATAATAACCAGTAGGGTTTTCTGTCACTGCTCGCTTCGCTTCAAAGACCCCACACGATTGTTATGCTATTGCTTTGAGTTCGTAACCATAAACAGATTTTCACATCAAAATTATAAATATATCAATTTAAAGATTTCGCAATTTTTTGTTCTATTAAAGCAGATTTAGTTCCCGATTTCATAGTGCTTCAATTTATAATATTTATGAATATCGAAAACGTAATATTAACAGTGATTATGGTAAATTACAAAAACCGGAAGGAAATCGGTTGAATAGTTCCTGAGAAATCGAATTTGTAATTTACGACTTTTTTAACAATCAGATCAACTTTTACGATAATCAGATCTACTAATTTAATTTTTTCTATTCAGTCGATGCTTTTGTAGAATGCAGTCGGACAAATAGTTTAGAAGGTACAGAATTTTTTTTATTCAAAAAATACGATATTGTATTTATACCTAATGAGTTTATGAGTCCAACATAGATATCTAGATCAGAAATTCCCAATTTTGTTTTTTGTCTACGGAACCCTAAATAATCAACCTTCTTTCAGCGGAACCGTGATTTTATAAATAAAGTTTATTAGGGTTATTGTAAACGTTATAACCTATAGAAGACTATGTTTAAAATATTTGATTAGAGGAATGAAGATTTTTCATTGTATTATTATTTATAATCTTTAATTAAATTTGATGTCCAACAGTTAAATTTTTAAGTCTTTTTCTAATAATTTTTAAGTCTATATCTAATCTAGCAATGATTTTTTTTGTTGATGTATATATGCATAAGCTAAAAATGAATTAAAATAAACTGAATTATGGTTTACTTCGAAATGAAAACTTAAAAAAACTGCGTTGATGTCATTTTCGATGCATTTTCAAAGAACATCGAAATTCTATTCGATTGCGGCGGCCAGCTCCAGTAACTCTTGACTATAGAGAAGAGATCTTGTCCTCAAGTGGCACCATTCCCTTTTTCAGAACATGTAGTGTGAGTGCTGGGCACTCGAAAATATGTTTCGATGTTAACCTGATATCCGGGCAGTTTCTGCAGGGAATATATGTAAAAACAGCATTGAAAATGGTCCATTGGGGAAACGTATTTTTTTATTAAAGAACTTAGTAATTTTATTTTGATTTGAAAGACGTGATAAAGAAATCCTAGTATTTTAAAAATGCTTCTTCTTTTCATAATATGTTCAATATATTGTTGTTAGAAATAGTATGATTTCCTTTAAAAATGTTTTTTTTCAACCGTGGTGGCTCAGGGGATAGAGCTCTTGTCTCCCAACTAGGTGACCCAGGTTCGATCTCAGTAATGGCTAGGATTCGAATTCAGCTCCCGGCTCGCACCGACTACAGTGCTAACGTAAAATATCCTCAGTCGTAAACGGATCATGGGTTAGAGTCCCTTGCCGTCAGGTTAACCATTTGGTTACTCCAGGATCAAGTGTTGGGAGAAATTCGCCTTTATGGAGGATTTTTTGATGGAACTAACCCGCATTCGCGTTACATGGATAGAAAAACCACGAAACCTTTCCACGGTTAGAATGATGGCAGAGCCGGGATAGGCTGGTCGGTAGGGCGCTTGGCCCATGTCCGAGAGTTCGTGGGTTCGAACCCACCGGCCGAAGACACCCCGTGTAGTTGGTGACTGATGCACGTTAAAATTCTGTCGAGTCGCAAAGTCCTCCATGTCCCCATAACAAATTAATACCTCTGGGGGTACTGGATTGGAGAACGATCGATCTCTGATTTCGGTCAAAATTACAATCTGTGGATGAATGAATGGATATATGAATGGGTCCGCCTTATAAACAGGTGTGACGTGTGATGTGGCAGAAGTCGAATTCTTGACCACAGATGAACTGAAAAACAAGAATCGCACACTCTGCCTTAAATTTGCTCGGTTTCACCAAGCAGGCTTGCCCGTGTGGTAAGTGGCATTAGAACCAACTAACCAACCAGAATGATGGCAAGGGGACTCTAATGATCTGTCGACCACTGAGGGCACTTTACGTCAGCACTATGGTCGGTGCGAGACGGGTGCGAAATTCGGATCGACCAGCTATCGCTGGGTTTGGAACCTAGGGCAATTCATTGGGAGGTAATCGCTCTATACCTTGATTCACCACGGATCCCCTTTAATTCTTTATAAGGCTATGGGAAGTATGCTTCCCACCAACTTATAACTGTATAGATTTGAGTGGGATCAAGAAGAAAAGCCAACACTGGAGAGTCATTTTTCTTGGAAGTTAAGCTTCGGCCCATTCGATCATTCCTCTTTGAGTTATTTTACAGCAAATTTTTTACCGTAGGTTAAATTTTTAAAATTATTTATAAGCGTTTTTCCACCTAGCTACAAAAAAAATGCTCTTAAGAATTAATTTTAGATCATAAGCTAAATGAATTTCTTTACATAAATCAATCTGAATCCCAAAAATATTTTAACATAACATTACTAGAAAAAACTGCCTTATAAAGGGTTAAACAATTAAATTTTAAATGACAAAATTCAACTATTATTTTTTCTTCATAATACTTTGTAAATGCATGGCCAGACTTAAAGTGGAAAACTTTCTGTGAACACAAAATCTCAATTAAAAAACTTTCTGTAAGCAATTGATTACGCTAGTAACCAGTTTCAATCCACCGCATTTTGGTGAAATTTGTTTAAAAAAAATAACGCATTTTTAAAAAAAAAAAAAAAATTTTTTTTAATTTTCGAAAAACTCTATTGATTCATACCACGGGAATGAGTTTGGTTAAAAAAAAAAAAAAAAAAAAAAAAAAAAAAAAAAAAAAAAAAAAAAAAAAAGCCAAAAATAGAAAACCAAAAATCTTATGTGCAAAAACATTAAATAATTGGGAAAATATCTGATATTTGAGCAAGAAAAAAATGTATCTAGAAAGCGTATATCTACAGAATGTAATCAATGTTTTAATAAAAATATTGATGCAAGATTTTTTTTATTTATATAAATCTCCATATTTAATTTTAAAATCGCCACGTGAATACGAATCACGGATGTTTGATTTTAAAATCACGTGCATACGAATTCCAGTGTATAATTTTGAAGTCACGTGAGCCCTAATCACAATAGCTTTCAAATTGTGTGAATACGAATCGCTATATTTGATATAAAATCGCAAATATACGAAACACGATATTAGATCTTAAATCGTGTAAATACGAATCGCGTTGTGATTTTAAATCATGTGAACACGAATCCCAATGTGTTTATTTAATCGTGTTTTCACGGGTAGGAAAAAGCGTAAAAAAGATTTGTTTACGAATTTGGAAGAAAAAGAAAACTACTTATTTTGAAAAGGCGTTTTCTTTTTTTAATAATTATTAAATTCAAAAAGCGATAAATAAAATTCCTTCTCGATACTTAATCAGATACGTACAATGACGTACTGAGAAAACGTAAAAAGGGACTGCGAGAAACAGAAGAAAAAATTCTCATATCAATCTTGGCCAGATATATTACAAATTAGGATTTAAAAATGTTCGATGAAAAATGTTCCATCTATTATACATATCTGGTCATAGCATACTTGAAATTATCTTGAACCTTGAAAAAAAAAAATTATGTAAGATGACCAGTACTGACAAAACACATCGCTTTTAAAATAAATCAACAAAACACCACCACTTAAAGAAATCAATTTATTTCAAATATGTTGACCATACTATGGTGACATAAATCACATTACAGTGAATGTAAAGGGAAATCTAAAAGTTTGTTTAACAACAATCTGTTTTAATCACGATTTTTTTGGCACATTATTTAAACAAGAAGCTTAAGGCATTTTATAAACAAAGCGGAGTTATTACATGGCAGTTTTAAGTTCAAAGTCATTCAGATCAAAATTGTAGCACTCAAAATGTGCAACAAATACTCCACAAAGTTTAAATATATTACTAAAATCAAATAAAAAAATAAATGCAACAATGATTTAAAAAAAAATCAAAACTATAACTTAAAAAATTCAAATTGATAAAAACATATAAAACTCTAAAACTTGGTAAATGAGTTACAAAATTTGTAAGGAATGTTACTGACTTATCAATACAAATTCCTGCACTTAAATTATAATTAAATAGTATAAATACATAAAAAGCAATTACTTTTTTAATAATATTCATTAACAGTAAATAAACTTATGTAACTTTTTCAACTAAAAAGTTACTCAAGAATACATTTTTGAAAAAGTTTAACGTTTTTTGATTAACAGTAGTAAATATTGAGGAACATGACAAGAGTTACATATAATATTTCATATTGCACTAGCCACAAAGCAGCTGCAGACATTTTAAACTAAATTGGCAGTTTGAAAAAACAAATTTAACTTAATGATTTACATTTTTTTAGCCTTAAATAAAGTATAAGCTCTAAATGATTAAAAAAACAATACTAATGATTGTCAATATTTATATCATTAACACATAGAATATTTTATTGATATTTAATTTATAATATTTATTAATTAAATTAATATTTATATGTATTAGTATTCATATATTTTTTAATATTTAATTTATGATTTTTAGTAACATTAAATATTAATAAAAATACTAAACCCATATTAAAATTAGGAAAATATAAACTTGCTTTATTTAACACATGTTAATATATTTTAGAAGTTGATCTTTTTTGAAAAAAGTTTCAAACATTTATGAAAACTAATAAACGTATAATATGCTCTACTAAACTATGAAAAGAAATAGAAAAATAATGAAAAATTAAAGTAAATATAAAAATAACAAAAGGTTAAAAAATATATATATTAAAAAGACTACACTGACTAATTTAATGTTAAACAAAACTCTGTGTATAAATCTAATTTATAATTTTGGCACAATATAAAATAAAATTAATGACTACAATGTAGGCAGTCATAATATAAAAGACACAATGCATGCAAATAAAACAATACATAACTTTAAAAATATATTTTTTGTATGAATATATTTTTTGTATGAATATTTTTTTTTTTACATTATTGGTTTAAATGAAATAAAAACAAAATGACAATTTACATGCTAAGTCAATGGTGAATTTTCCTAATTAATACTAAAAGCAAGAATAATTTTTAAAAATGAAAAAATGCTGAATGAAACATTATGTGATTAGTTAAGATAATAAAATTACTTAATACGTTATAAATTATGGAGTACCGTTATAAAATTATTTGGAAAATTGTTTCTTCTTTGCCTTTTTTTGGAAATCATTTTTAGGAAAATTGTCGCTTACAAGATATACTTTGATTTTGTTTGTTTCATAACCTACAGAAATATTAAATGTATAAAAGTGATATAGCATAAAAATAAAACACTGCATAACTATGAAAGAATATTTTTCCATAAATATTTTTGCGAAATTGGTTTTTAGAAACTTGTAAGCTCAGGCAATGACACAAATTGATACCAATACCAAAAAAGTAAAAAATATGAATAGAACATAAAATAAAGAGATTAAAAAATTGATTTTATAAGTTCAAATTACGAGGAAAACTACATTTTATTTGCTTTAAACAGCAATTTCAAAAAAAATTGTCCCTTAAACGATGTACTTTGATTTTGTTGCTTTAATTACATATAGAAATATTTCATGGATTAAAGCTCCTAAAAGTATTTAATGATATAAAATGTAACATGTAAATACATATTTGTGAGTAATCATTAACCAGTTGAATTTTCTAAAAATGCATAATTTCACAATATTTAATTTTTGGTTTGCACAATTTACTTACATGTTATAACAAGTTACATACAAGTTATACATGCTAACCAGTATTGGCCACAGAAATTATTATTGTTAATTGCTCTAACAAGTATTGATCTTTAGAATTATTATCTTATTAATTTATCTAGCTAGCTTTGTTCTTAGGGGTTATTATTATTAGAATAATGTTTATTCTTCATTGATTGAGTAAATAATCAAAATTATTTCAATACATTATTTACAAAGAGTAAGTGTTATATTTCATAAGACATTGAGCTGAAAAAGAAAATTGTCAACAATATAAATTTGTTTTTAACGCTTTAACTGTCAATAATGTTTAGCTTTGTTTTGAACTGTCAATAATACAAATGTAATAAAATAGCACCAAATAAGGCTTGTTCACTTGATAAAAGGATAATAATTATTTAAAATAAATAAATCCATAACAGCAGAACTTTTTTTCATAAGCAAAAAAGCAATATTGTAGAATATTTGAAACATAGATAAAATAGGAAATACTTAATTTGTTTTTAAAGCTGAAGGGGACTGAAAAAATATTTGTTAGTTAATAAAATGTATAAATTTTTTTTTTAATGAAATGATTTTGTTTTGCTCAAATAACAGTTTGATTGCTATAAAATTTAAAAGATATTTTAAAAGATGCTAACCTATACAGGTTCGTAGTCAATAGGTAATATTTCTACTTAATTATTTCAATTTAGTGTGAAATGTTTGATTAAATTTTGTTTTATCTTATAGTTAAATACTTGTAAGTGCAAATATTTTCAAATTAGTTGACAATATTCTAAAGTAATTGTGACACTGTTTGTTTTCCACACATCTTTCAGGAATCAAAAATTACAAGCACTGAAATTAATCTTTTTTTTTAAATGTCAAGATCAGTTTTTTATTATAAATCTTTTTTAACACCGTAGTTAAGGAAGTTCAATACTGAAAGATTTTGCTCTCTAATTTTATACAAAACATAACCTTGACTATAAAATATAACCTCAACTAAAACATGAAATTATAGTACATATTGAATAAAATAATTATAACTGCATTTATATCAACTTAAATAAGTGCTTATATTAATAAATACAGATCTGTGACAGAATGTATAATTCTGCTTTACGTTCCAAACAATACCTAACTAACTTTTGATTTTAACATTCAATTCAGTTTCATCATCCAATACTTTATAATAAATAACAATCAGAATTACTAAATAACAAAGTTTGAACCTGTAATAACAAGCTTAAAATATTTTATATAATTTTATATTACATAAATTTATATTTTATAACAATTATATTTTATAATAATTTTATTTAAAATATTTATAATTATAACATTGAATTAATGATAATGATTTTATCAAACTTACCTTGTTTTTAAACCTACACTGGTTTGCATCTTTAATTCATTGATAAATAAACGTAACGAGATTATCATAAAAAAACACTTCCATTTAATTACAGTAAATATAAAACATTTTTAATTTTTTTAGGATACTTCTGGCAAATCAGTTTATATTGAATTTCTTAAACTTTCTAAATTTGGCATACGCAAGTAATAAACCATAAATTATACTATGCAAGACACATGGAATTTTTAAAAAAATTCAAACGCATGTATTTTATGGAGCATAAAGGAGGAATTATATAAATTTCACATGAGAAAAAAAAAATTTAAAAAAAGCTCCTTCACAGAAGGTAGATTTCCTGAGAAAATCAAGCACAGAAAGAGACAATATTTTGTAGAACTGTAAACAAAAATGCATAAGAAAAAGACAGTTAATTTAGTATTGGCAACCACACTGTACAGGCAGATCAGAAGTGTTAATAGATTGTTAGAGGTAGCTTTAAGGTAAGCTTTGAGTCTTCAAATAAGTACAAAGTGTTTTAATTTAGCCTTGACAACCACTGTAATAAGCAGATCGAGCTTCTATAACATTCAAATGGTCTTCCATCTCTGCGTTTAGTTTGTCGAGCAAATCGGAGAAGTCCTTCAGCCTCTTCTCATTTTCGTCAAATTCATCTTCGACCCCTGCAATAAATTTTTTTATTTCATAACAGTTGTTAAAAAGCCCAACATTTCTAGATCTCAATGGGACCCTAAGTCAATGATATTTAAAAAAATTTAGATTTGATATTGAAAATGTTAAAACCTTCATTATTATTCAAATGTTTACATACAGTGCTAACTCTAAGGATTTTAAATTATTAGCCAGTAAAATAGTCAAATATCAAAAGTATTCCCCAATTTTCAAAAGCCTCTGCCAAATGAAAATCTTAAAAATTTTTTAAGATTAAACTTTTCCCCCATCGAATTATTTATGGGGTTTACTCTGTATTTTACGATAGTTTGTTTCAAGCTTATATTATTAGGACCCAATTCTAATTGGTTATGTGGCGCATATACCAAAAATTACTGTTATCAAAATAAAAAAATTGATTTATTTAGAAAAATTCATTTTGAGGTTATTTTGAATATATATTTTTATTTCCAGTGAAAAAATCATTCATGAAAACACAATTTTATTCACCAAATTTACGATTTTATCGCATTTAGCGAGATAACAAATGCTCAGTGATGACCCTCATATATATTATTATTACAATGTGGTCCATGAATACAAAGTTTTTCATTTCCATAAACTTTGTGATACATTGATAAAAATTAAATAATAGCATAAATTAAATAGTAGCATTATTAAAAGCTTAAATTAAGTTATTACTTCCTAGGAATAAACCAAGAAAAAATTTTTATAAACTTATTTCTATTAATCTATACTACAGCCAGCCTCCGTCTCGCAAAAATGAAAATATTCAAAAGTTCCCGCAATGTCTACTGTATTTATTACTCAATAAAAATAAGAAACAGGTTTTGAGGTTAAAAAAGTCAATCCACTAAGCACATAGCAACTGCGTAATGTGGAAAAACCCAAAAATTACATTTGGGTAAAAATAATTTACATTTGAGTTGGACGAAAAAGAAAGCACAAAAAACCTCCCATAAATAACCTAACAACATCAGGTCTGTGAAGATTTATACCTATCTCAGATCTTATTTAAATAATAAAAATTAAAATAATTACCAATGTTAACAATTTTAGTTCATTCACTTTTAGTTCTGAAACTATTTACAATGTTAAAACACAGCTTGAGATAGGTAAATAAGAATTTAATCACGGAAAGGTTACTTTTTATTTCATTTAAAAAAAAATTCTCCAGATTTTGAAACTAAGGCTGCTTTTTAATATTAGAACATCAATGAATATGTCAAAAGTAAGTGAATGTCAAACTTAATATAAATCTCAAAGAATTTCATCAAAACATGAAAGACATTTAAACACTGGAATGAAAAGCATGGTTTAATCTTACCTTGTAACTCATTTAAACGTCCATTAGCATCTTCGGCAAGTTTTTTGGCACGTTCCCTCAGCCTGTCAGCTCTTTCTTTTCTTTCACCACTCAATTTAGCCTTGTCATCCAGTGCACGGGATGCTTCATTGTATTTGTCTTCTAAGTCTTGAACATCCTACGCAAAGCAAAATAAGAGTTAGCAAAAATCAGAAATATTTTTTTTATAATAAAAAAGATTATCAACATTTGACCTAAAACAAAAACTAAGGGAAAAATTAAATATTTTTCCTAAAAATTAAATTATGATAATTTATTAATTAATAATGTAATATATGAAAATTTTTTCTTCAAATAAGACATTTTAAACTGGGAAAGTTTTTTCTATCTGGCAAATGTTTAGCTATCCAAGGTTATGTTATAAGCACACGATGAAATCTTGCAAAAACTTTTCTTACCCATTAAAATTAAACTATTTCATTTCTCAAGTTTTTTTTCATGGCAATCGCCCGCTTTATAACAACTACGATTAATGCGGATTGATTTCCTTAAAACTTAAAATTGGGTAAAGTAAAATTTTTCAACAATGTAACTTTTGCTGATAAAAAAAACATAATGCTAGTTTCTTGCAAATTTTACTCAAGTATGGACCCTAGTTATAAATCATGTTTAGCATTCTTTGTTACGTTAACTTATGCTTTAAATTATCAAAGAAAGATTTTGTTGACTTCACAGAAATGTAGAAGAAAATATTTAGCAGTAATGCATTTCTAATTACTTCTGCTAATTTACCTGAAAAAAATCTCAAATGATGTTTTTTGTAACATTGAATTAAGGAATCCTACCTTACAACATCTTTTATAGAAGAAGAAAAAGTTAACATTGTAATTGAACTAATGTAAATAAACTTTTCATTACTTGCATATTGTAAAGCAGTAAATAAAAAAACCACACACATTAACACAACAAAGCAATTATTCAAGAACAATTAAAATATCATGTTAGACAGAGGATTGCTATTAAAATAAAATAATCTAACATTTCAAAGAGACACAAATAGTTCTCAGTTATAAGTTTCAGAATGACAACTTTAAAACCTAAAAAGAAAATTTTCTCTTATTTTTGAAACAAAGACAGTTATACTTTTACTATCAGTCAAATATTTTACTTCATTCTTACCCCTTCTGCTTGCTCTGCTAATTTACCGGCAACATTTGCTTCATTAGCTGATTTCCTTGCATTAAGCTCATTCTCAGTAAACTTTTTCTTCAGTTTATCCAACCTATCCTGCATATTCTTTATATCGTCCACAGACTTATTAGCTATTTCCTGAGCTCCAGCAGTTTCAATGCCAATCTGAAATACAAAAAGCACAGATAATTAGTAATAATTAGAAAGCTGATATGGGAACCATTTTTATGTGCTCATCTAGAAATAGTTTATCTAAGGTCATCCATTTCCAATTAGCAACTTTTAAAAAAATTAACTTATTTCACGGTAAGTTACTCTAAAACTGGTGTCTTTTGTTTAATATAGTTACATATGTAATTGTGACTGATAACACAATGAATATTATTGTTTTTAAGAGGAAATCATTTAAATAAAACCTTGTAAAAACAATACTTAGGGAACTAGATAAAGATAATGTTATATCAAGAGGTAATATATCTCTGAAAACTATTTCCTAAAAGTCAGTACAATTATTAGCATATGCTGTATTTATATCGTTTGTACGCAGAACTAAGAAAGATTCAATCAAAGGTTTAGGAGCTCTGGTGACTGCAGCTACAAATCTTAGTTTAAAAGAAGAAAAGACTAAATTCATGGCAGAAACAAGCAAAACATCAGATTCATCACCACTGAAAATAATGGAGAATGTTTTTGAAAAAATTGATCAGTTTAAATACTGGATAACAACTGTAAACAATAGCAACATTAAAACAGAAATTAACAACGGAATGAATATGGCTCTTAGATGATGGATTAAGAAGACAGTTTAAAATAAAATAATTGAGTATGGAAACAAAAATACAACTCATTAAGATGTTAGTAAGACAAATAGTTTACATATCCAAGTGAGAGTGTGCTAGTTAATGAACAAATCAAAAGAAAATAGATTTTATATGGAAGTGAGTGCTAGACAATGAACAAATAAAGAGATAATAGATTACATATATTTGAAAGAAAGATCTTGAGAATAATTTTTAGTCAACTAAGGGAGAATGAGATACAATTTTAAGTTAAAAAAGAAATTCAGAACACCAAATTTAATGAAGTTCATTAAGATGGCTTGGTCATGTTTATAGATAAGACAGTGAGAACACAGTAAAAATAAAACTTTTCACAAGCTGGAAGGAAAAAGAGAGATAGACCACATACAATAAAGTTAAAATAATGTGAAAAAGTGTCTGGACAGTGTAAAAGTTAACACATGGAGAGTAGTGGTGTCTGACAGATTGAGCTGCTGATTGTAAAGCTGCTTGAGACAGATATGGCACGAAATTAGCTGTAGTGCAGGTGGAAGACGAAGAATATGCCATTAGACAAAACTACATATTTTGAAGAAGAAAAACACTAGCAGACTGTGGAGTATAATGATTTGCATAGTATAATTACAAGGAAATGGAATTAATATAAATATAAAAGGTAAACATTAGAGTATTTTTTCCATTAAAACTTAACAAAAATTAAATAAATTATATCCAATAAATAGGGTTCTAATTACCTCATTGAGATCAATGTCAGCCGTTTTGATATCATTATTAGCTTTTTCAATCGCAGCTTCAGCACGATCTTGAGCCTTCTGTGCCTCTTCTAAAGCCTCTAATACCTGCTTGGCTGTATCTAAAATTGCTTCAGCATTATCCCTGCAATCATATATAAAAGAGTTATTATTCTAAGTAAAATTATTCTTTTATCCACTAGGTTTGATTAGCTGGAGAAGGTGACTGCTTCGATCATGCCCTTGTGAAAATAGGAAACTTTGAGAAACTACTGAACCAATTTTCAAACACTTTTTAATATTTAACATAGAGTTAATTATTTATTTATTTTTTAAATTTAGGAAGTTAGAATTTTAAATATTCAAGTAAAATCTTAAATAATAATTGCACAATATAACAATATGGAAGCACAATAGAGATTATCCTACTCGTCAACTCTTGTGAATTTTTTAAGATATTTTATTTTTACATTTAATGTGGTAGCAAATATTATTATTTATTTTTTACAAATTTAATTTAAAATGATTTTGACTACTAAAGCATTTAAATAGTTTAAGCATGCTTAGCGAAGGCCTGCAAGTTATCTAATTGTGTTGTAAGTTTTGATTGTATGTGAATTAATTTCTGCTTACAATGTTACCTCAATTGGTATTTCACTAACACCAGGAAAATACTTCATAATAGCTTAAATACTGGCAGGTAGCCTTGATGCATAAAAATAACTATAACAACCAAACTACCAATCACAGTTTAGTTTATCTGCAAGGCTCATTGCTAAAATCAAAATGCAAAAAATAGGATTTACAGTTTAAAGTTTTACGAAGAAATTTAAATTTTACATTTATCAAAATGAGTTATCAACAGTTATATCTAATTTAATTAAAACATAAACATAAAAAGCAACCATAGTGATGCAAAACTAACTATAGCACGTTTGATTGGAAGCTGTCTGTGCATAAATTATCTATTATTAAAACTTGACAATGCAGTAGTAACAATCGTATTGAAAGTCTATTTGTTTCTAATACATGCAAGATATGTAAAAAATAATTCATACCAAATAATATAATAAATGATTCAGCAATAATAAAAAGAAAAGAAAAAATCATCCTTGATTGTAAAGAAATTAAAAATGCTTAAAAATCAAAGAAAAATTGGGAATTCCATAATTTTATATATAACAAATTCATAGTCAAAATTTGCTGCACAGATATAATATATTTCAACAAGAAGTGGGGTAATTTCATTAATTATATCGAAAAATTGTAATTTGCTTACTTAGCTCTATCTGCTCTATTTTTCAATGCTTGAGCTTCACCAAGGTCTCCAGCTGTTGCATTCAAAATTGCATCAATATTAGTAAGACTAGCAATTGTTTCATTGATTTGGCGGGCTAGTCCACTTATTTGTTCAGGCTCCAAAGATATTGATAATCGCAAAGTCTATAAAAGAATGTTGTAATAAAATTCAATAAAATGAAAAAGAACATTTTTTTAAATTTTACTGAACAAAATTTTTATAAAAAAATCAATATCAATTTAAATAATTTTTTGCAGCCATTTTATACAAAAAATCAAAACTAATGATAATAAACAATGCCAATTAAAGAAAATGATAAATTTTGAAACAAAATGTTTAAAGAAAATAAAAAAAATTTAATCAAAATGTTTGGGCAGAAAAAGTTCAAAATGTAACATTAAAATATTTGCTTGTTTCTGTTTAAGCTTAAACTTAGAAAAAGACATTTTAAGAATAAATATTTAACTTGCCTATTTGTTAAAAGAGTTTCATAATATAATGTAATTATAAAATTTTTAAAATTATTAAAAAAAAAATTAACTATAAATAATACAAAATTGAAATTCTAAATTCCAATTTTATATGAGCAATAGACAATAATGAATAATTATAAACCTGTTCAGCAAAATCTCTTATTTCGGCTGGTTTGGCTCCTCCAGCCTCCAGAAATTGCTCAATTTTGTCTAACAAATCTTCAACAACACCAGTTGCATTCTCAGACCTATTTTTTGCAGCTTGAGCATGTTCAAAAGCTAATCTAGCTTCCTCTAAAGCTTCATTAGCATCCTTTCTAGCCTCTCCAATCTAAAATAATAGTACACATATTTCAATAAAACTCTCTAAATAAATATAAAAAAATTTAAAAAATCTATACTGTTGGTAGAGATAAATGTCTAAGTTTGGATTTAAAAGAACAAACTTATAACATCTGACTTAAACTGAACATTCTTCATTTACAGATAAATTAGGCAAAATAAAATACATTTTTAACAATAAAAATATGTCCAACAATTCATAGTAAATTTGAATAGTAATATACATATTTAATAATTCAACTGTCAATATATCCAACAACACAATAGGAAATATGTACAATAATAGAACTGGCAATGCATTCATTGAGCAATAGAACTGGTGATTGTAGGAGCAAGAAAGTCTTTTTCTTCCAAAAACATATTTTTGTTATTTTCACATTATGAGTGAAAAAAATAAATATAATTCAATATATACATTAAAGAGTAAGTATGCATATAATTCAGATTTAATTAAAGTCTAACCAAGTAAAAAAACTTTTGAAATTGTCTAAAAAATATACCATTTTCCCTCAAAAGTGTTAACATTTTTATGTTGTTAACTCGTGTGGATTCTGCATTCATTAAACTAACTAAACTAATTATGTTGTTATCAGATATAAACATTAAAAGTTTACTTAGGTATTAAAATGCTTCTCAATAAAAATAGTATAAAGTTGAAAATAAATCTCATTTTTAATAGAATGAGAGATGTAACAATTTAAACATAGAGAGGAATAAATAATTGAAACATGAAATAAAAACTTATTATTTTTGAAGAAAAATTATTTTTTTAAAGTATGTTAATATAAATTGAAGCAAAATAAAAGTATGAAACACAAAATTAAAATTTATATTACTTTTAAAGAAAAAATAAAATTTGAAAATTATTATTATCAAGAGTTAACATTAATACTCAATGAAGAAAAGTTTAGTGAAATTTAAAATTAAAAACTATTATTATTATTTTTTTTTTCAGAAAAAACAAGACCACAAAACTTTTTTTAAGGAAAAAAAGAAACATAAAAGCTTATTTATAGTAAAAATATATATATATTTTTAAAAATAAATAATATCAAAACTTTAAAATTTTAGTGGAAAGGAAGCATCAATCCACTAGTGCTACATCAGAAATAAAAATGGTATGAACAAATTTTAATATAATCTTACTTCTCCCAGAAGATGTTTGGCTTTCTGTTCCTTTTCTCTTATTTCTTTCTCAGCATCTTTTGCTAAACTGAAAGCATTGTCAGCCCTAGTCACGGCTCCACCACAACCCAGGCCTCCACATCTGTCACATCCAGCACCTCCACACAATGAATCACATTTTGTCACACCACCATGTCCACCACAAACCTAAGATCAATAATTATAAAGTTACATATTATATTTTAAAAAATATATACAAATTAAAAAATTATATTACTACGTAGACACACAAAACATATATATATATATATTTTTTATTACCTGAATAGATTATATAATTGTATAAAAATAATATACAGTGAAACCTCTTGGGAGTGACCACTCTCTGTTACACAATAAAATGGCCGTTGATGGAGGTGAGTCGTTTTTAAAGGTCACCTCCATTGACCTCAAAATTGTTATTGATTTTTCACAAACGATTTTAATTTTAGCCAGTGTCATTTTCTTGGTGCGGAAATGCCACTGGTGTTGGTGTCACGAAAAGACGTATCAATTAATAAAATTTAGCATTTATTCTCAACTGATATCAATATGTGTAAAAAATAAATTACCAATTATGAATGATGAAGCTATTTTAATAAATAAGCAATTATGTTTCTTGTTTAAGTTTGCATTTAATTCTATATCATAAAAATTAGTTAGCTTTAATATATGAGAAGAGGTTTGCTTCAGATGCTTGTTTTATTAAAATAACTTTCTTTTCTAATTTAACCTTAAAAGTAAATCATTGAGAGCATCGTCTTTAACGCACTATGACTGCAACATGAGGTTGTATCGCTAAAAAGAGCTCTCTAAATAAGAATGTCACAAATATTTTGAATACATTTTAATATGCTAATTCGTTTTGTTAAATTTTTTGCTCTTATAGTTTTTCGTGCATCCTTATGTGACCTTTTTCGCATTTGGTGCAGATGGTTGTCGGGTTGCAGGGGGAGGTTTCAATGATCTTTCCTAAAGGTTTTCTTCAACACAAAGTCTGTGGAAAAAATTTCGTGCCTCCCAAAAGAGGTGGTAAATAGAGGTGGTCTTTTCTTGAGGTTTCACTGTAAATTGTTTAATTTTCAGATATATATTGTTTAATTTTCATATATATATATTGTTGTGTTTACAGACTAGAAAAGTAAAACATGCAACATTAAAAAACACTGCAATTTAAAACAACTATTTTAAACCAAAACTTTTAACAACTTTTTTTTTCTTAAAACTATTTCAAACAACTTGATTAATTTTGGACTAAATCATTTGAATGTTTTCTACTTCTTGACTTTCTGAAAAGTGTATGATATAGAAGTTTTTACTCTATGGATGTTTATTAACCCTGGAAATATAATAAAAAATTGGAAAATGGCAAAAAGAAATCTACAAAATTAAAGAAAATGATAAAAGTAAAAAAATACCATATCTAAGACTCTCATGATTATATATACGAGTTTATAACTTTAAAAAATTTATAATTTTTTTAAAGATGATAGTAAAAATTCAATACAGGTATATATTTTAAAATATTCTATTGATAACAGAATGTACTAAATGGAAATTTGCTTACAATGTTGTTAAGATCAGGAATAGCATTTTCAATAGAATTAATTTTTCCGGCAATCTTCATCAGTGCGGCTTCATTTTCTAGATAAGTTTGGTTGTATAGATTGGTAGCATCTTTCAACAGTTTTTCGGTTCTACGACGATGACCTTCTGATTCCTGAAGAACTGCACGAGAGTCTCTCACTTTATTATCTGCATTGTCAGATCTTAGTTTAGCATCCTTTGTTATATTGAATGCACCTACAAATTGAAAAAAAATTATAAGATACATAATTTAATCAAATAATTTACAATTAGAAATAAGGAATTCTGTATTCTGAAAGTTAATGTTTTCTTTTTGTTTATTATTAAAACAATTAATAAACGATTGAACTTTAAACGTGTGTAATGACTTTTCAACAATTGGATGAAATAATTATCGTCACATCATAAATCAATCAACAATTTATTTATTGACAGATTAATAAGATTAATCAATTCACAGTACAATTAATAAACCACTCAAGAAAAAAAAATTCCATTCACATGAGATTTTTTAACAGATCTTAGATACTTTTACACTGTTGATTTCAAATCTGCAATCAGTTTCTCTCTCCAAGTTACAATTCTTTTAATGATATTTTTTGTCAAAATGTACAAGCTTAAAAATGTTATATGTAACAGTGCATTGCATAAACATTGCAACAAATTTCTAGGGGAGTCAGGGTACATCATTATGATTAAAAAAGTATAGGAACCCAACTGTTTGAGGCTAGGGTCGCTTCCCTAATAGGAATAGCTTCTTTGTGTGCTTCTGAACAGGTAGTAATAAGGAAGCTCCTCTAACCAAAAATGACGACATTTACAATCGTGGGTTCCTATGTCATTTTAATCATGACGATGTGCCTTAACTAGCTTAGAAGTTAGTCGCAACATTTATGAGACATCCTAATTTATATTATGCAGGGGTGATTGTGAGCCCAAGTCAGAATTAAAGTAGCTTTGAGTTAAAAAGTCTTGAGTTAAAAAAAAAATTTAAAAAAAAACAGTTTAAATTGAAAAATTAGAAAAAAATTTAAATAAAGTTTTTCCTTTTTCTCAATATTTCTTAGCTTACTTAAAATATATTTAAATTTTTACACATACCTGTACCATTTATACATACCTATGATGACCTGGAGAAGTAATTGAAATTTACAAATATGTATATCTTTCTTGAGTTTATGATTACAACAACTATTTACTGATAAAAAATGAATATTAATCATGAATATTAATCATGAATATAAGCTTATAAAGTATCTCTCTGGCTCTCCCTCACAAACAAATAAAATAAACTGTGTTTTTAAGTTCCACCTTTGAAAATTTGATTTCCGGAAACTTCTGCGATCAATGATTTTTTTAAACATCTGGACCTTCGATCTCCGGAAATTCCGGATCACTGTTAGTGAAAAATCCGGAAATCCGGATTTTTTACGGAGCACAATCAGCCCTGATTATGTTTTTAAACTTATACATTTCAACAGATAACTGACTAGAAATGTCATTTTTAAAATTAAAAAAAAATTTAGCAGATTTAGGAACAAAATTTATTTCAGATTTGAAATCTATGCACTTTAATTGTGTAAGATCAAGTATTTGTATAAATACAACAAAAAATCCCAGTGTAATCATTATTATAATTTCCCAGCATATACATTATCAAAATGCAAACTATTTTCAAAAGACTTAACATGATCGTGACAAAATAACTAGTTTCTGACAGAGAACTCTTTTTTCTTGATTACATTAGCCACCATAAAAAGATTGAGAATTTTCAGTTTGATTTCAAAGGCGGGAAAATTAAGCCTTAAATCGAGAAATCTTGCAAAATGCATCAGGTATTACACATTAGAGTGCAAGAATCCTTCCCACTGAATCCATCTCAGTATATATGTACATGTGGACCCGCAAGTATTTCACCAAACATGTAAAATGATTGGCGCTTTCATACGTGGAGGACCGACGGTAAGCCGAAATGCATTGTGTTTGAATGAATTGTGGAAACGTTGAAAAGAACAATGCTAAAACCACGCTTTTGGATAATACGTGGAGAAAATTGACACGGTAAAGAAAAAATATTTCAAAATAAAAAATTAAGCACTTTTTAAAAATGCACAATAAAAAAAGCACCTTTAAAGGATTTTAAAAAACAAAATAAAAAGTAAGCACCTTTAAGCACTTTTTAAAAACGCTATGCACCATGTAACATTTTTTAAATAATACAGTTGTTTATTAATTTTAAAGTAGAAGAAAAATGTGAATTCATATTAGCTAAAAAAGAAAATGAGTTGAAATGAATTTTTAAATTTTACATAACTGATTAACTGTTGAGAATAATCTATTTGCTAAATGCATAAATTTATACAACAAAGAAAGTTTAAAATTCAAATATAAGAATCAATACTACACACAAAAAAAGAAGGTATTTTTTTAAAAAATAAAATAAAGCACATCGACACTTTAGTAACAAATTATTTTACAACAATTATACATAAATTGCACAAAATTTCAAGGTAAATTTCAATAAAATTTAACAATTTAATTTAATGAAATTTTCACAAAAAAAGAAGCAAATGTAGTTTTTTTTCTAAATAAAAAGAGGGACCAAAATATTTTAAACTTGAACACAATTACAATTACTTTGCCAAAGAAAACAATTAAAAACACTTTGAATGAAAAGAATTAATTAAACCAAAACACTCTATTCAACATACTCCATTAATTAAAGTTACATTGCAGTATAGCAAATAAAAAAATTTAAAACACATATGAAGAAACGTTTGCATGTGTCTTTACCTTCGACATTAGCTTCCTGCAATGCAGTTGCATTATCTTTCAATGATTGAGCATCATTTGTCAACTCATCAGCTCTTTTGCGTAAATCGGTGAGTGCTAAATTAGCATCATAAATCCTTTGTGTTGTATTATTAAGTTCTCCATCGATTACATCTAAGTGCTCTTGAGTAACAGTCAAGTTTTGTCTAAATAACATTAGTAGAAAAATTTTATTTAATAAAGAAAATATTTGATTACAAAAATTTTTATTCTAAAAATTCAACTTCATAAAAAATACAATTTATTTAAGTAACTTGTAACAATTTTACAGTGAATGACTGAAATCAAGTCCACAATCACAGTCACTTTGGTTTATGTCTGAAATATTAGTTATATCCTATTTGATATTAATTTATTCATTGATATTATTACATTTTTCAATATTTTAATATCTGCTGAGGATAGATTAGGAGAAACATCAGTGTTTGGAGTACCGGGCAAATGTATACCCGGCAGTGACACTGAACCTTAAAAAAACATCAGTGTTTGGTATACCGGGCAGTAACACTTAACTAGACTTTTACCAAAGCGACTATGTGATTGTCAGCATTCAATGGTGGAAGTCAACAAGCAGTCATTTACAGTTACAAAGACATAAGATAATGAATTTTTAAAATTTTTTCAATAACATTATTTTGGATTTTTTATAAATAGTTAGATTGAAGATAAAATTTAAAAAGTATGGAAAGTTTTTAAAGTTTATAACAAAATATTTTCAACTCAAATTGAATATATTATTAAAGCTGATCCAGATAAGTTTTTTAATTTTTTATTTAAAAAAAATTTGAAACTTTCGTAATATACTAGCAAAAATGTCTTAAAAATTTCAAAGCTGTTTTAGAGAAACAAAACTTGTAAATTAAGTCATTTTAGTTTACTTTAAATTTTAATTTAATAAAACTACATTTATCTTTATTGTGATTTATAACATACACCAATTCAATAATTGTGAACACTGTAAGAAAAACAAAAAGCACAGCTGTTTAATATAATCGCATAGTTAGAAAAAGAATAATCTTTATTTTAATATTATATAATGTTTCATCTACTTGAAAACCATTCACATCGCAATTAGTCAGTTCACAGAATGATGTGCATGTAATAGAACTGGCAAATATAAACAATATTAAGTAAACAACCTTTCATTATCTTTATAACAATATATTTATTTCATATATTTTTTCCCTTGCCTCTGCTTATGCTATTTCTCAATTTGCAGAACAATCACATTATCGTGTGTTCATTGGTTCAAAATTTTTAACATAATGAACATAATTCATTATGAATATTTATTTAATAAAAATACTGACATACCAGTGTCCTCCCTAAGCGCTTTTAGAAAGGCAGTCAGCCCTGCCTACCCTTCAAACCCCATAAATGCACCCTCTCTTTGTCCGTTTTGTAAAAATAAGAAGCCCATCCTTTTAAAAACATAGCCTTTTTACTTTCAGTTTCTCTTTGTAAATAAATTAATTAACTGCTTAAATAATAATCACACACTGGTAAAATTATCTGTATTTATAGGTTTAATTCTGATTACCATTACAAATATTAATATTGTTAGGATTATTCTTAACTCATTAAATTTTTATAAGTATCTCTTTTCACAGGGAAGGGGGATATTAATATATTTTTTTGTAGTTTTTATTTTTTAAATAAATACTTTTTTTTTTTTAAAAAAAATGCAACTTTAAATGTCTATTTTCTCATAATTTTCAGTTTAAATTACATAGAAAATCCTTCAAGTTGTTTATCAATTAATATTTTTTTTTAGTTTACTTTTTTTTTTGAAAAAAACTTTTGTCCAGAGATTATCTATCAGCCAGACTTTATTTATTTCTATACACTACAAATTTTTTTCTTATTCTGATAATGAGAGAAAATAATTTTTTTGAAATATACATATAAAATAGTATAAGAGGGAAAGTTAAAAATTGTTGAAGATGGAATTCAGTTATTACATAATATTACACATTTTGATAAATTTTATTGGTGTTGCATGAATGTCCTTTTCAGAGAGGCAGCGCCCAGTCCATTTTAATTCCTAAGGAGAACTCTGACTGAACAATATTTTTTGTAAATATTGGTCAAATGAAATAAAAACTAGAGACAAGTAAAACTCTGAAAACTAAAATCACAAAGTGGGAAACACTACTTAGGTTGAAAAAACGAAGTGTTATTCACATATGATTTGGTTTGCACACTTTCACTTAAGTGACAAAGAGCAATTACTTCAATTGATCCACCATGTGCTTCAAATCTTCGATGTCGGCACCCGTCACATTTGCATCAGCGAGAATTTCCCTCACTTTTTCGAGTTTCCCTTCCATTTCCGCAAATTCCTTTGAATACGCACCAGTAATTCCAGTCTGCTTGATCCTACTAGCTTCATCTAACAGAGCTTTGGTCTGATCTGAAAACCATTTAAGCAATGGTAAGTGACTACAAATTATTTAGATACAGAGTTTATATATCAAAATATATAAAACCTAAAAATAAAATCTAACTATAATTAACATTTAAGATGTTTTTAAAACAAAGAAAGCTAATATTTTTTATTGCATTTATTTGTAATCATTTTTGAATAAGCCACATGAAGTTTGTATTGTCAGTAAAGACGTCGGACAATTTATCCCCAAATTCCAATAAATCCTACAATTTCTAATAAAATTAACACATCAATAGCTTTGTAGTTATCATCAGAGTTAAAAAATTTTAAATAAATAATAAAATGGTATCTGGATGAAAAAAATGGGGCTTCTTGTTTAAATTTTTTATAAATTTGTAAAGTCAACTAAACAAATAAAAAAACCAAATAAAACAATAACCTAAAAGTAGTTTATACTTGTACCATTGAGAATTGCAAAGAAGAGAGTCTATTGAAAGAATTTTCTAGTTGTTTTTTCAAACAAGAGAGTTTTGTCTTTTCTTCCGAAATTTAGCAACTTTAAATATAAAAAATAATACCTAGTTAACAGTTCTCAGTAAAAGTTTAAATTACATTTTAGTAATACTTTAACTAAATAATTCAATATAATTATCAGTGCCAGGTAAAACCACATTTTTTGTAGATAACTACACCTACAACTATTTTATTACAAATGTAGTTCACCAAAACTACAACTACTTTTTTTTAAATATAGTGACTACAAACTAATTTTGAAATGTAGTCACTATTTTTAGAAGATTTTAAACAATTGTTTCATGAATTTGTGTCAGTCAGTTTATAGACATAGTTTCTTATAATCACAGTTAAAATTTTACAATGCAATGTAGCAAACTAGCGCAATACATGTTAGACAGACTCATTAATAAATAAAAAAGAAATTCTTTTAGGATTTTTCAATCTTATTAAAAAATTAATTTTGTATACTAATTCAAAAATAGAGATTATCAAAAAAGGAGGGGAAAAGTTTGATTATGCAGTGAAAAACAAAATGATTTATTTAAAGTGCAACATATTGATTTTGCTGTTTAACTAAGCATTGAATAGAACATTCTCTCTTTTAAAAAATGAGTTATCTTACCTTGAAGAGAAAGGAAAGGTCCTAGGAGAGCATTAAATAAATAAGATAACATTAACTAAAATAATGACTCATGTCCGATGTTTATCATTTAAAAAATATAACAATTACATGTCATACTGTCAACATTCAAAAGGTATCACAACAGTGCATGATTTAAAAAGAGTAAAGTGTGCAAAATAAGAAATGGAATACCTTTTGATCTAACGATCAGTTTTTATCATACCAACAAGCAATCTTAATGATTTAAGGGGTTAAATTTAAATGAGCTTAATCATTCAAACTGATGATATTTTAAGTTATTAAATCAAACACAAAAACATACTTTCAGTGCAAAAACATGCCCTTTTTTCAATGGATTTTTATTTTTGACTTTGATAGTCACGATACAATGACTATGAAAAGGAAGAGATCGGTCATAAATCTAGGCTCCTTAATGTTAACGTCACTTTTTGAGCATTTTGCCGTATCTTGAAAAATATTTAACCAAACCAAAAATTTCAGCATCAAATTTTAAAATTTGTTTAAAATTTCAAAGTTAATTTCATGCAAAAAACAATATATTATATTTAGTTGTCACTTCTAGATCATTTGACAAAAAATAAAAATTGTATTTCTTAGAATAAGAAAATGTTGCCATAAAATGCTATGGCCAGAGGTTTCCAAATATCTTTGACTATAGAACTCCATGCCTGTCAAAATAAATTTTTGAGTAAAAACTAATTAATTTTTTTACACTTTAACTGCCAAGTTGTCATTAATTTTTTTATTAAAATAAAATAATTTGCATTTATTTATGATATAAATTGAAGTCAGCATGGTTTTAAAGTTCTATTCAAACCTAATAATGACCAGCAGAAAAGTTATGATTCAAGGTAATTTATGACATTATGCGAAGTAAAAGAAAAATGAAATGGGTACCTTTCAGTTCTTGTAAAATAGAATCCCAGTTGTCGAAACACTCTCCACAAGGATCACAGAAAGGTGACTTTCCTGTGTAACCTCTGGCGCACATGTCACAGTTCCTTCCAGCAATGCCTTCTGAACACACACACGAACCATCATCCCTTCTGCACTGTAACGTCTTAGAGCCCTCACGGTTGCACTCACAAGCTACAAAAGCATAAGGGTATTATGAATAGGAGTAGAGAAAAAAACTACACAGCAACGCTAATCACAACACTGCAGTTTCAGTAGAAAAATCATTGTAAGCGACAAAATATTCAAAATATAAATTTTTAAGTATTCAGTATTTTTGAATAGTAAGATACATATATTACACTTTTTTTTTCTTAAGAAATAAATTTTTTTGACGAGTTTTCTGAAATTCTGTCAGCATTGATAGTATTTGCAAAAGAAAGAAAATCGTTGCCAAGCCACTTTTCTTGAAATATATCGTAAAGTACAACATGAGATCATCAAACAAGAAAATAAAGTGCAATTAGAAATTAGAAAAATATTGTGCGATTAGAAATTAGGAAAATATTGTGCAAATAGTTAGAAAAAAAGAGTAATTTTCTATATGTAGAACCATTTGGGAAATAAAAAAAACTAGACTTTCCACATGCAGAACCGCATGTGGGTTATAAGATGCTTCATGGGGTGAAAAGTATCAAAATATAATATTAATTTACAATAATAATTCATAACATGCTTATTAAGCGTTTAACAAGATGTAATCAAATCATAAACATCAACGAGTATAAAAATATTGCATTCAAAACATGTTTGCATCATTGGAATATTAAAAATGATGGAATAATGGAATATTAAAAATGAAGTTAAAAGTTTTAACTGTGTAAGATTAAATTACTAAAAGAAAAAAATGAAGCTATTAAAATAAAAATGACTTAGATAGTAAAACTCAGAATAACAACTGAACAAACTTAACAAATATTCTTCGGTAAATTTTCTCCTGATATGCCACATAAAATATCAATTGCCTTCACTTAATCTCAACCCTTATTAATCATAGATTTAAAATTGATTTTGATTTGTTTTTATACATTTTGACACTGTTGTTATTTCTTAAAATTCTCAGAAATAACTTAAAAAAATAAAAAAAAACAAGAGGAAGAAAGTGAAATAAATGTGAAAAAGATTGCACATTTTAACTAATATATGCAGTAAAGGTTTCCTTGCATTTTTACTTTTATAAAAAATTAAAATTATCTTTTAAATTCGCAACAACTTGCAAACAGTCAGGAAAATTATTTTCTTAATTTATAGTTTTTTATACCAAAATAATTGAGAAAATAAGTTTCATTTTAGTGAGTAAACAATTTTAATTGTCACATTTTTAAAACTGTTTTCATCTTTAAAAACCACTTTTTAAGAAATTTCCTGTAGAAAATTCAACTAGAAAACATTCAATTACCCTTTGTTTAATTTTCATTCACTTCTTTATTAAGAAAAATAATAAAAGGAACAACATCCTTAACGATGTTAAATTATAGAGAGAAAAAATTCCCAGCAAAATATTTTTGACGTAACATTGTACTAGCAGAAAAGTACATTTAAATACACATATTTTTTCACATTCATTCTATAAAATGATTTAAAAAACACGGACTACATGTGATGTCCCAAAATTAATAAGTTAATTGTTTCATGCTAAAAAACCTTATGTCACAAAGATAATTAACCCTAAATATTCCAAACATATTTTAAGTTTGCTTCCTGCCAGTTACAATTAAAAGAATTAAAACTAAAATTAAAATAATATAATTATAGTTAAATTGCAAAAATAAGATTAATTAAAATAATAAAATTATTTCGGCCACGGTATATGCGATATTTGATTTAGTAACTAAAAGGGCCATGCAGCTTATATGTAGCATTGGTCCATTGAGGATTAATTTGAACAATAGCTGCTTTCAATTTGATAAATGAATGTTAATCACAAAACATCAAGTATTTGGAGCCTCATTACAAAAAAATTATTAGATTTGATTAATGAAACTTATTACTTTAATTATAGTGTTTACATTTGCCTAAACCAGTGAATCAAGATTTTGAAATAATAAAAAAAAAACATTATAATTTGTTTTAAAGATACAAATTTAATTTTTTGATGTACATTCTTTAGAAAAAAAATTAATAAATTAAAAGAAATTTTCTTAAAATATTTTTTTAAATAAAACAAAATTTAATATAAAAAACTTTTTTGAATTAAAATTTCGCAAAAAATTACTCACCATAACACTGAATGTGTGGATCACCCCAATAATTAGTTTGGCACTCGTCACATTTACGCCCTCCAAAACTATGCTTGCACGGGCATTGACCATCAAACTAAAATTCAAACATAAATAATTCATGAAAAATCATATAACTCATTTTTTTTTTTTTAATTAATAGAGAAAGATAAAATTAACACTACAAACTTTGGATTAATCTCCTGATCAGACTAATTTGCAGTTTACAGTTACCTAGATATTTTGGGGGTCAGAAATCTGAATCCATCAACAACAAAAAGTACATTTTTATTCGGAGAAAGTACATTTTCGTGTCAAATTTCATAATTTAAAATATTGTCTGTGCTAATCAATTAGCATATTTGAGGTTTTAATGAATCCGTTTAAGTATAATTGAAACATAATATAGAACACTTTATTTGCTCGATATGAACTATTCACTTTTAACTTTTCAATTCTTCCTAACTAAGTATAATTGAAACATAATATAGAACACTTTATTTGCTCGATGTGAGCTATTCACTTTTAACTTTTCAATTCTTCCCAACTAAGTATAATTGAAACATAATATAGAACACTTTATTTGCTCGATGTGAGCTATTCACTTATAACTTTTCAATTCTTCCCAACTAAGTATAATATAATTTAAACATAATATAGAACACTTTATTTGCTCGATATGAGCTATTCACTTTTAACTTTTCAATTCTTCCCAACTAAGCATAATTGAAACATAATATAGAACACTTTATTCGCTGATATGAGCTATTCACTTTTTACCTTTCAATTCTTCCCAACTTCTAACTCTATTTGTTTCAACTTTTCATTGTCACTGTGAGAAAAGAATTATTATTCATTCAGAAATTTCTAAACATGTTTGTTTACATGATCATGATAGCTCACACGCTTGTGGGGGAAAAAATGGAGACTTTCTTTGTTGAGGTGTAAGAGAAATGTATAGGTAGATTACGAAGAAAAAAAATAAGAATTTAAATACAGAAAAAGTTTACCTCATTGCATTCAGATGCATATGATCCAATTGGGTCACAATCACAAGCTTTACATCCTGTTCTGCTGCTTATGTTCCAATGATTGGGTGCACACCTATCGCAAGAAATGCCGACCACATTCGGTAAGCAAGGACATTGTCCTGATCTCTTGTCACAAATACCATTCACATCAGCTGTTCCCAAACTGTTACAAACACATTCTAGCCAATACAAAAAAATTAAATATTGATAACTATAATTGAATTGTATCATCTTAATAAAAAATTTTAAAGTGGCAAATTTTCATAGCAAGGAAAAATTTTAGTCAATGAAAGTTAAGTTCACTATACAAGGTTCATTGATTTACGGCAACATGATTTAAATAAACCGATTTGAATAGAAAAATTCTATTTTAAATCAATTCATTTACTAGGGACAATATATCATCCAAATATTATGAAGAATTTCATAAATTCTTTATTTGTTTTCAAACACTTTTCATTAGTATACTGAAGAGTTATAAATTTTAATGAGGAAAATTATATTTATACTTTGTGTAATAAATTACTTTAGAAAAGGATATTTTAAAAATTTTATAATGCTTTTGAATTTTTCAGAACGTAAATAAAGGAGTTAAAATTTAATGTTAAGATTTTCCTATTTAGTTTATTTTTATATATTTAAAAATATGTCAGGTGCAAAATCTTGGAAAAAAAGTCATTAAAATTCTTCAAAAAATAATATATTATCAGCTGATTATTAAAGTCAGTAATTTATTTTTTATTTTTACAACACATATTTGAAAGGAAAACAGAGCATGCTAATGACTTTTGAATACATCTTAGTTTGAACACTAAACTTCCCTTAATTAATGCTTTTATTCAACCTTCATGTGGGCATATTTATAATAATAAATGAATACTCTAGTAAATGGTCCCTTGCAAGACTGAGCCCTGGTGACCACTATTTGAAGTTACCAACAAATAGTTAAAAAAAAATCAAGAAAATCATTAACAGTAGTTTTAATCCACTAAAATACTGATCTAATAATGATCTGTTCCAGTTTTTAGAATTTGTTAAAAAAAATTTTCCTAGTTATGATCACTCACAGTTCAATTATTCATTTACTAAAGTTCTCCTTCACATGTCTTTACCACTGTTTAAAATTTATAAACATAATAAATAATATCAATCAACAAATATTGGTCTAACATAAGCTCAAGTTATTTCTTTTGTGCATGTACAAGTAATTTCTCTGAATTGTGGGGATTTGACTGTATTATAATCTATTATTTATCATTGATATGGTCTAGGAGTCAAAAACATGATTTTATTGAGATATGTAGATGACACTAGATGAAGCCACCTTAACTAACTTTAGATCTAATGATTGGATCTTCACGTTCTAGGATTCAATCATAATGATTCAGAAGGGTGATCTTAAATATGCTAATTAATTAGTTCAGACGATAATTTAAGTTACGAAATCAAACACAAAAACAAAGTTTCTCTGCATAAACATACCTTTATTTCTACAGATTTTGGTTTCTGATCAGCAAAATATAGAGGAAAGCCGCAATCTGGGAAATATGGTAATGTTTAAAAATATTTAATCTGGAAAATATTTCAAATTTAATTTCTTAAGAACTATTCAACTGATTTCGCTCAAACTTTATATTTTCCCATGTAAAATTACATATTTTAAAATGATGTAAAATATTGTATACCTTACAATTCAAAATTTTTTTCGACCATTATTAAATAAAATAATAAATATGTACTAAAATTTATTTTTTGCACAGAATTATCTATGGATAAACGGATTTTATAAGCGTGTGCAAAATTTTTTTCATTTGTTTAGAAAGTTCAAACTTTAAACCGCTCTCTTGACCAAAGTAAGGGGAACACATTTTTCAGATTACTGCTACCCTCTAGGTTTTGGAGGTCAGAAATCCAAATCTGTCGAAAAAAAATGGTATATTGATTCAGGGAAAGTACGTTTTTGTGTCTGATTTCGTACCTTTAAATATCTAAACTAATAAAAAAAATTTTTTACTACTGTTGTTGAACAGTCGGCCCAATTTTCGGGTTTACGACTACTACTGTTCAACTCCGTAGCCTTGTAATTTTTACCGCAATCCAGGTATGTTTATTTAGAGAAAGTATGTTTATTCGTTTTCGTGTCTTATTTCTGAAACTTAAAATATCGTCTGCTCTGGTTAATTAGCATAATTGAGGTCACCCCCTCAAACCATTAAGAATACGTCTTTGAATGTGAAGATCTGATCATTAGATCAAAAGTTATTTAGGGTTGTCCTTTTTTGGGGGGCATTGTACATGTGACAAATCAGAAATTTTTGTGTTCTCAACAAGTGACACCTAAAGTTATATAGACTTGTTGACTGTAAAAAAAAATCTTCGATTTGTAAGATTTAATTGCAACTATGTGAATATTATTAACCCAGTCCCTGACACTAATTTACTTCCAATAAGTAGTCTATGAATCATAATTGTGATATTATAATCGTAATCTAAAAAAAAAGGTAAGAAAGATAACTTGTTTAACGGCAATGACAATAAAAAACAAAATGTATTACTTAAACATTCTTGTCTTGTCGCATCACCATAAAAGCCATCCATACATTCTTCACAATGATGACCTCCTGTATTATACAAACATTGTAAACACTCTCCTGTGTCTGGGTTGCAGTTGCCAGGAACAGTTTCATCAGTATTTCTGTTGCACTCACACTTTTGGCATGTTCCATTTGGCACAGTTGGTTGACCATAGTAATTGTTGGCACAACGGTCACAGCGCTCACCTAAAAATAAAAAGTATTGCTGAATAATACTATGTTTCTTGAATACTACAAAGCAAATATTAAACTGCACACATATAAAGAATAATAACTACATTATGTTAATAGACCTAATAAATTCATTCTCATATTTTTTTAAACTTTGACCTTATGAAAAATTGCAGAAAATTTAATGGGTAATCTATTCTAAACCATTTATGTATGAAGCAAAAAAAAGTCTTACAAAATTGTTCCTCAAAAATTGAAAATCATTTTTAAATGACAGAACATTCAATGGCAGAATTAAGTTTTGACTGCTGGAAAAGGAACTGTAGATTCATAATTAAGTTCACAGTGCAGATTGACCTTATTATTTGCCTTAACAAAATGATTTCATCATTGTGAAATGAAATGTGAAAATTTTATGAATATTAAATCAAATAATACAGTACAGGATTTTAGATTAGAATCAGTATGATTTTTCTTAACAAGAAAAAAAACCTAGAAAAACATCAGATGGGTTTTTGTTTCTTTTCACAATTGCAACTTGTAATTTTAATTAAAAAAAGCAGAAGAAAAAATACCAGCGGTAAGATTTATAATAAAAAAATTCCCAAACTTTTTCTCTAAAATTTTTACTTTTATTGGTTACATTTCGTACTGCTATCTTTAAATTTTTTAGCTAATTCGGAAAAAAAAATTATACATTAATAAAATATATTATAATATTGAGTATGAATTAAATACTAAAAAAATTTATGCTCGAAAAAAATCCTTAAAAGAAGAGAAAAAATTTTAACTCTTTTTATGTATATCTGAACTAAATTAATTTCCATATGCTTAAATTATAGGAAATTATTAAGGCGGCATGAGTATAAATGCGGCAATAATTTTGGTAAATTTTCCTTAAATGAGCAATGAAATTATGAAAGTAAAAAATTTTAGCAATTACCTTGAAACTACTTTTAAATAACTAGATTAATTTATAATAAATTTATTCCAGTTTTTATATGTACTAGATTGACTTTTATAGAAGGTTTATAAACAACCTCTGATATTAAATACATAAAAATAAATAGAATGAATTGAATAGCCCACGTAATTCGAATGAGTGATGTTAATACAATAAAAAAGATATCGCTTTTTAGACCCACTGGAACAAGAAAGCTGGGAAGCTACAATTCAGATGGGCTGATTCTGGGAAGTCTGATTTTCTTGCAATTAATGAAAAGAATTGGAGATCAAAGATAAAGCAAAAATCATTATGGAGAAATCTTCGGAGGAAGGCATTGGCCCACATTGGGATGTTTGGTCAATTATGATGATGATGAATTCCAGTTTCATTAGCATCAAAAGTTATGTATTAATAATAACATTTTGGTTAATGAAAATTATTTATTGCCCAAAATACCAGTTCTTTCACAAAATACCAAAGATTAAAATTATTCTGCTATATTATTTACCTGCATATCCTACATCACAGAGACAGAGAACATTTTGAGAGCGAGGATCTAGTTCACAGCTTTGTGCATGACTAAGGCCACTACCAGCAACACCAGGGCATGGGCATGGACGACATGGTATGCCAACACCTATTCTGGGATCACCATAATACCCTGTATCACATCTAAAACGAAAGAAATATTTTTAACTTGTAAATATTATTATTAGTTGTAAACAGTATAAAAAACTGATATCAGTTATTCTGAAACCAATGAAATTCTAACACAACATAAATATCAAAAGAAAGTCTATAATTAAAGACATAAAAAATTAATAATACAAGAAAACATTAGTAATAAAATAAATTTAACTGAGTTATTCTGTGTTATAGACTTAAATAACACATTGGGCTACATAAACTTAAATGACACACTCAAATGACACAACCCTACATTGTTGAAACATACATAATCTAACCATGCAAACAAATACACAGATATGAACAAATACACACATATTTATGGTAGAGTATAAATAAATAATATGTGTAAACCTAAGGAGAAGGCCAAGGATGTCATGCGTAAAACCTCTTTCATATAAAATTATTTTCAGGCATATACATAATTAAATGACAATAAATGATTTGAACATAATTTGAAAATAGATAAGATTTAAATTAACTTGGCAAATCATGGCATTATGACATTTTGAGTCTAAATTGACTTCATATTTAGACTCAAAATGTCTTTAAAATGTGTTTTACATCTTTAGCAATAAATTGAACTGAAAGGTTAAGTGACTCATTAATAAATCACAAAATATAAAAAAAAGCGTGGCAATTAAAGATTATAAAAAACATTAGTTTAAAAATAAAATTTTTTTAATCAACATTTTACTGAAAATACTATAACTAACTTCTATATTTAATATAAACACATAAAATAATGATTTCAAAACAATGCTATAACAAGAATACATTCTGCTATGAATTTTATACAATTGATATTTCTAAAACCAACAGATTCACAGTCATTATAATAAAAAATAGAAATTTTGTGCTGTAATTGCATATAACAACCAACGTTACTGAGCAATTGTAACAAGCTTATCACTATATTGTTTGGCATAGGGTGTTAAATAGCATTATTTTTCGTTCATAATTTACTGCCAGTCTCTCAAACTTCTAAACTTTGATGATATGTATGAGAAATTGCATGAATTAAACACTTCTAAAGTTTCAAAATAATTCTCTAAGTAATTCTTGAGAAATGTGTTAGCATAAAAATCTTTCCATTATTTCATCCAGTTGAAATAGAAATATTGAACCAAATATATAATTTAATTACTGTAAGCATTTTTGAAATAGTGAACATTTAAACAAAAGCAACATCTTTTTTTACCTGTCACATTTAGGACCAGCAGTAAAATCACTGCAATCAATGCAATAGCCAGTTCTTGAATCACAGGTATCTGCGTGTCCATTACAGTCACAGCGTTCACAGTTGGGATAGTTCCAGAAACCTGGCTGACATTCATCACACTGACGTCCATAAGTGTTGGGCCGACATTTGCAATTTCCGCTTTGTGCATCACAGAAATTGTCAAGAGAACCAACGCTGTTACAATCACAAGCTAAAGCAGAATAAAAAGAACATTGATTGATAACAAGAATATATAAATGGTACAAAACATCTTTCTTAACCATATACAGTACTCTCGAAACCTTGTTAGGTCAAAAAAATATTTTTCCTCTCAGAATTATATATCCACCTAATCGTAATTTGTATTCCTATGTCGAAGGTTTTTTTTTCAAAACCTTGTTATGTCGAATTTTTTTCGAAATAGAAAATGCATTTCTTTTAGAAAAATCGCAATGTAAGTTTATTGTAACTCAATTTTTTTTTCTATTACATGCATAGCTATTTTTGTCTTACTTTTAAAAATAAAATTATAATTGTTGTATTTAGACTTATAGTCAACTATCATTACATACATATTTATTAATAGTTATACTTATGCTTTATTACTCATTATTTTACTCATTAGCGTTATATTTTAGAATATATTTTTCTACTTTTTTGAGCATATCTAGTCCTGAACTTGCTATCTCAAAAACTCACTATCTCGAAAATATTTTTAGCGTCTCTTTAACTTTGCGATATCTAGAGTATACTGTAATAATTTAATAAAAGAAGTCCCACTCTGAAAAGTAAAAAAGAATATATTCAAAAAACAAAACTGTAGAAATATTCAACTCCAACACCAAATTTCATTAAGAGATTTAACTCTCTTATATTATGATTTTATTCTAATAAGATTCTCCCTAATTCCTAAGAAAATATTTATAATATTAAAATGGTAAAGGTTAATCTCAATATTTTGATTTTTATCTTATTTTTTCCATAGTTCCAAATATTAAATAAAATATTTTATTTAAAACTAAATTTTATATTACAAAAATGAAGTTAAACATATATTCTTTTACAAAATATTAAATTTAATATTAAAGTCATGCAAAACAATTGTAAAAAATGAACAATAAACACATATAAATAAATACCAAATACTATTTTAGCAAATTTTAAATAACATTTACAAGATGATTCTTCTCTACATGATCATAATTGATATATAAAATATCTATGACAAATTAAATAATATAATAATTTCGTAAATTAAATTCATTAATTTCAATTAAAGCTTATTTCTGTTAATAATAAATATTTAAATGCGTAGTTCAGTTCTTATAAACACGATATTGTTGCAATTATGTATACTTAATCAGTGCTTTTGCAAGACTGAAAACTGTATGTCTTTATGGCCCAGGACATTCAAATTTCTTTTTTTCAGTAAAAGCAGTTCCCAATTAAAAATAATATGAATTTTTCATTTATATTCTTCAGTGATATCACTGCCTTAAAAGTCTTCAGTGTCTGCATTTTGAGCTGAAATTCCCGTAATTGTTTTAAATTCTTCCTCACGTATTTTGTCCTAGCATTAGCAATGTATTTTTTTTTGCTTAAATTTTTTCTACAAGCAAAAATAGTTATTTTTTAAATTTATTTATTCTTTTTAAAAATCAATTTTGTTAACTTAAATTTGTTAAAGCTCTATTATTAAACACTATAATTCCAGACTCCAGAGAAAGCATAACTTTTTGCTATGTGCCTTTTTTGTCCATTATTTTTAGTTTTGGAATGTCCCTTCAACTATTTTTGGTATATTTGACACACTATAAGATGAATCTCTGCTTAGTACACTTAAAAAAAATAAATAAAATAAAAAATAACCAACAAAGTAAAAAACACTCAAATGTTAATAGAAAGCAATAACTTACGGCGACATCCTGCAGGACCAAATCCATAAGTTCCAGGAGCGCATCGATCGCATCTTCGTCCAACAACGTGAGCTTTGCAAGTGCACTGTCCACCAAGATTATCACAGTTGGTACTCAATGATCCAGTAGGGTCACATGCACATTCTAAAAACAGCACATTAGATAAAAAGGAATAATAACATCACCTCATTATTTTCAACCCCCTCAACACACATATGCTGCATTTCACTGGTAATTATTATTATTAAACTATTAGTAACCAGGTTATTTAGACATTAATAATCTGTTAACAGGAAAATTTTGCAAGCGATTTCAAATATATTTTTAGAAATGGATGAGTGAATTAATTGTTAGTCCCTAAGCTTACCATGAGCCTTATCATAGACATAAAATCCTATGCTGTACAGATACTTTTTACACACTTCGTTTGGAATCGGACGTACGACCGAGTAAAAAGCTTGACCGCAGCGGAATCGCTCAAATTCTTGTCTCCTGTATTCGTTGGCAGCTGATCCATGGAAAAATGATATGCTGTCTATTCTTGGAACGAAAGCGATCTGAAAGAGATCATTCGTAAGTTTATTATTCATTTAATCAAACAAAATAATAAATTTATGGAATTAAAATTTTTATTACAGTGCTCTCATTTTTAGGTACTTATCTGACAGTTGGACACCAGAAAAGAAACAAAAATGACAGTGCAAAAATGGCAGTAACTTCCTTTTCAAGTAGGGGAAAAAATTATGATAATTTTGTCACATTATTAGTCTATATTTTCACTGATCCAAACACCAGTTGCCATTTTATTAGAAAAAAAATTTTTATACGAATTTAAATGAAAAGTTAGAATATAAAGATAATGTAATTGCATGTTTATGATGAAATATGATATTTTGCTATTGGGAAAAAAACCATGACCATGTAGAAATCAAAGCAAAAACTTAAAAATAAAAAAAAGGAAAATTATTTAGAATTATGAGAAAATAATCACAAGTAAAGCATGTCACAAATGAATTTTAAAATGTGTGATTCTAAAATAGCAAGTTGCTATAATACTGGATGAAAAATATTTAGATTTTCAAATGACAACCATGGAAAAGGGTAGCAATAACTACTGAAAACCGCAGGTTGTGCACCCCTATATTATATGTTTGTATATTATACGTTATGACGTTTGTATATTAGATATTAGACGTTTATAATGTGGGTGCTATATGTATTTTGAAGACGTGATTGAACAGCTGAGAGGGTGAGGGTTTTCATTGACAATGAATTTAAATAAATTATAATTACAATTTACGTATTGTCAATAGAACATAAAAATTTTGCCTTACTTTAAATTCTAATTCAAAGCTTTGGTTTTGATTGCTGGAGTGAAAAAAGAGATAAAGCTTAAAAAAGTAATAAGATTTTTAAAAACACATTCAAGTTACATTACTCAAACTAATTTTAATGTTTTCATGCCTCCTTTACTAGTGATACAAAATATTTTAATAGCATTTCGGATTTCTTGGATTTAAAATTTAATGCATGACCTCTAATGACAATGCTCTTTCTCTTAATTTTCACCAAGTATTTTATATATAAAGGGTACGAAATTAAAACAAATAAATATATAATACTGCGCATTACCCATGTAGTTACAAAAAGAGAAAAATCACATATTATAGTGATAACAGATAAACATCTATTGTAGTACAATACTAAGATCTAAATCTATGGAGAGAAACAATATAAATACTTGTTCTGATATTTAATTAAAATAACTATTTAGAACAAATGAGGTATGAGGTTGAGGGGGAATGATACAGAAATGATTTCATGCAAACATCCTAAGCAAAACGATAAAAAACATACAATTATGTCTCCCTTTTTATTTCCTTGAATTGATTTTCCAATTATTGGTTATTTTTAAAACACCCAAGGCAACACGGCTGATAATTCAATTGACAACTCTGAACACTTTAATTTATTTTGAATAGTTATTGAACACATTTAGTTTATTAAATTTTATTGAACACTTCCAATGGTTCCACTGTTCAAAAACTATTCTAATTCAATTCCATTTACTTGTTTATTATATTATCACCATATAATAATGAAATAGAATAAGAAAAGATTATATTCCTGTCAACAAAGTAGCACTTTTATATTAATTAAACAATTTTAAAAATATTTTTTAACAAAATTTATAATTAACATAATTCCATATTTAAATAATTTAATATTAAAAAAACATGTGGTGTAAGGTTCATGCATTATGTGCAGAACAGGAATGTGTCTTAAATGCATGCAATTAAAATCACATAAGGGTTTATAGGTTGCATCTGGTGCAAATCTGGTGCTAAGGAGTACATTCAAACATATATTAAAATAGACCTTGATATGACAGGATTGTAGATATGCACCAAATACTTTTTCAGAATGGAATCCTGAAAATAATTATAATTAGGTTATCACAAAGCTTTTTCCAAATCTATATCTTAATGATCATTACTCTACAGAGGGAGATAAAAATGTAATACAGTAGGGAACCGATTATCCGGAACGGTAGTCTTTAGGTCACTCTTTCTCTCATTCAATTGAAAATAAAAATAAAAGCTATTTAAAAGATTTTTATCAACTGCAAGTACTTTCAATGAATGATTCTTTTCACTAAGTTTATACTTATATTTATATTCTATCCCTTCTCTTCTATTTTTAAAAGATTGCTTCAGGAGTCTGAATTTATACATTTTAAAATTTACTTTTATAAAATTATGCAAAACTGACTAATATTTCATTTAAATGCATTAAACATTTAAAAGTCTGACTAATATGTACAGATAAAATGTATTACATTAATAAAAATTGACTAATGTACATTAAAAATTCATCAAACATTAGAATAATTAGACATTAATAATAATTGATAAACTTGCTAAAGAAAGGAAGGAGAGAATTCAGTCACTGTTTTTATGCCTTTAAAAATACGAACAAGAACATTTTAATACGTAGTTAGTAATGTAATGTCTAAAAATATTTACAAAATTTATAACTGTAAAGCTTTAAAATAAAGCGTTTTCATATACACTACCAAGAATTAGTAAATACAAGAAAATATAAAAGCCTGCTAATACTTGTCATCAGCATATTATTATAACTAAAAATTGCTTTTAAAAGAGCCAGAAGTTTCATTTGTTTCTTTGGTAGTCAAGTATATTTAAAAATGTAAGCTTATAAGACAAATTTTAAATCAGCTTGCTTTAGAAAAAAAAAAATTCTCATCACTTAAAATCTTATTAAAAGCATAAAAAACCATCTTAATCATTGCTTATATGATTTCAAGAATTTAAATCAATAAATTTTTTTTTAAAAAAAAAGAAACAAGTGATTTAAAAGTGTGATTGCACTGATCTCAGCAATTTTATTTATTTTCTCAGGTCAATTTTTTATCAATAAGACTTACATATATTTTTTGTATACTATTTGTTTGCTGGTTTATAACTATAGGAAGAATTTTTAAAAATGGTCTCAAATTTAAAAGAATTTCTTAAATTGATAAGTCTTTATATTTTCATTATTTTCCTAATTTATCTTAACAATTCTACATAACTTAAAAATATTCTACAAATTTGGTAAAGATAATTCTTTTATACTATAACTATAGAAAGAATTTCCAAAAATTGTCTCTGAAATTTAAAAGAACTTTTTAAATTGATAATTGATTGATATGTCTTTATATTTACATTATTTTTATAATTTACCCTATCAATACGCAACTTAAAAATATTCTACAAATTTGGTATAGACAATTCTTTTATACTATAACTATAGAAAGAATTTCCAAAAATGGTTCTGAAACTTAAAAGAACTTTTTAAATTGATAATTGATTGATATGTCTTCATATTTACATTATTTTCATAATTTACCCTATCAATACGCAACTTAAAAATATTTCACAAATTTGGTAAAGATAATTCTTTTATACTGTAAACCATCCATAAATATTTCCAATTCACAAGAATTTTTTAAAAGATACCAGAAAAAAATTTAAACAAGAACATACACTGAAATTATTTCAAATTATTAATGGTAATTCACAATCAACACAGTTTTTTAACATTCAGGAATAATGTAAGCTAAATAAATATGTCACAAATACTTAACCTTTAAATATATAATTTCACCAACAAGTGTTTGTACTATTTTTTAAAAAAAAATAGTTTAATTTTTGTTTATTAAGGTTATAGTAAAATAAAAAAAATCCTCACCGAGTCTACGAGAACTGAGGCTGAGGGAGTTTGAACTTCTTTGTCATAGTGTTTGAACTCAATTCGTACAACATAGCTTTTTCCCTTTTCCAAGCATGCAGGAGGATATACAACAGAAAACCTTTGGCCTGCAAAATTATTTAGAAAAAACATCATTATCACTAGATCTAAGCATAAGAAAAAAAAGTACATTTTCTAAAAAGACCAGTTACGGTACATTCTTGTACAAATTACATTCTTGACGGTAAATAAAAAATGATAATAATTTTGCAATTTTTTTAAAATAAATTAATGGTGTTGCTTAACATCAACACATGTGTGATTGGATTAAGATGGAGATAGGAACATCCCTCATTCTTACATTCAGAAGAATGTCATAGAAATAATAATAATAATTCCATCACTCCTAATGCAATATAAAAAAAAACAGCTCTTTACTTTTGTGATTAGAAAAAGTTACATGGAGAACTATATTGTAGGAAATCAGGTGTGGTTGGAGTTTTATGATATAATTGACTAATTGAAGATTGTGATGAAAACAAGATGATAAAAATGACAGTTGAAGAAGAAAACTGGATGATAATTATAATTCGACTTTTATTCAGTAGTATTTGTAGAGCTCGAGATACAAATTATAATTTTATCCATATGATTTTCTAAGTTAAATAAATTTTGCATAATAATATTTATAAGAACAAGCCATTGAGATAAATCCCCAATGGCATAACTAATCAAAAGCCAAATTAAAAAGTGATAGAATTGTTCCCAAAGAAAAATTAGGAGCATGGAAGAGATCCAAGGTTGGTGATTTACCGCAAGTTATTATGCCAAAAATAAAACCAATCCCCATAATCAATATTAGGTTTGAAAATACTTTGGCGATCACAAATCGTCAACAAGACTGTGAGAATTAGTATAACCATGTAACTGAAACCTATTTGTGGTAAGAAATCAGGAATAAAGAGTTATGAATAGATTTTTGTTTTCCATTAGATGCAACGGTAAATTAATGAGTCTACATTAGAATTGAAATATAAAGTTACCCATTACATTGATCAATAAGAAAAGAATAAAATATGTTATGTTCGCTTTTTATAAATTTTAATAAAAATTAACTAATTTATTTAAAATTCGGTAAAGAATGATTGAAAAAATAAATTCTAAGATTTGAAAAAAATTTTAAAAGCTAGGAAATATGTAATGCCTATTGTGGCAACACAGAAACCATTAATGATCAGTAGTGCATGTCGTAAAAAATAAGAAATGTAACATTTTCACAATAATCATTCACTTAAAAGGAATTATAAACAAATTAATAATAATAAAATAATAATTACCAGATGGTAATGACACAAGCTTAATGTCATCTTGAGGAATAGTATTGGCACAGGGTCCATTTGGATCAACTGGTCCAGGTCTTTCTATCACAACTCTAGCTTCTTCCCATTTTCCAGGAAGCTGTGATAATGAAGATAAATGAATTATTAACCCGAAATGAATTAATAAATTAACAATAGCCTCCCTCCCAACAGAAATTAAATAAACTATCGATTCACAAACTATTTTTTAAAATAAGCACATCTACATATAGGGTATTTGTATATATCTACACTATATAAATTTCCATCATCATTAACTGAACTTAGTACAACTTTTAACTTAAACTGAAAATGCCTGTGATTTTTTTTTTGGCGTAATAATATATCAATTCTTTGGATTAAATTTAAAAGAGAACATAAATGTTTTTTTACTCCTTTAAAACTCAGTGAGAATAAATTTTTTATTCAAGTTAGTTATGAGAATTTTTTCATGCTATATTATTTTTCGACTGAATAAGAAAGCAAAAATTTAAGTTGTTTTGATTAAAACAAATAACAATGACTTCATTTAAAATATAGGATTTTCCAAAAAATATTTCAAACACTAAAAACTTTTTCTTGCACTATAATATGTCAAATACAAAAAAAGGTGGTAATGTGGATAAGAAGTTTATGACATAATTCTAATTAACATAGTGACCATCATCAGTTTAAATGAAGTCTGTTTCCAGAACATTTGATTTCATAAAGCAGCTGGTTTCATTAACCTGAATGACAACACTAAGGAAAAAATTTTTTAATGATTCCGTTCTTGCAGATTTGATTTTAAAAAAGGGCCGATTTTATAATCCAGCAGCCTTATTAGTGGCAATCACTATGTTAATGTAATAATAAAATAAGTTCTCACTTTTAAATTTGCAAAAGACAAAATAAATAAATAAATAAAACAAAATTAGTATCCAGAGCATTTTTTTAAACAAAATGGAATTAATTTAAAATGAAATACTAAAGGATATCTAAAATGAAACTTACAAATTACTAGATAATTAACTATCAATCTGAAAAATACTAAAATTTGTCATTTAATGTAATGCTATATATAACAATAGCATATAAGCAAAACTTTAACTAAAATATGTATTTAAAATCAAGAAAGGGAGATATATTAGATATTTACAACTCTATTAGCTAAATCCAGATAATTGCTTACCAAATAATGATTTTTTTTTAAAAAAAAGAAAAAAACAAGACTTGAATAGGTTATAGTGAAAGAAAATTTTGCAAAACCAAGTTTATACATCCAAAAATATACCTGGAAGATGGCACCTTGCACAAGAAACCACATCTGATAAGCATGTACAGAAAAAAATATTTAAAAGTTAGATTCCTAAGCAACCTGAATAAATCACAAAAATAAATTAGGAGATAAATTAAGGATCAAAATTATTGGAAATACTAAGACCAATGTGTATTTTACTCATGCAGCACAGATCTTCCTCACTTGCAGCACAGGATCCCCAGTGTGACATTGTTGAATTATAAAAATTGTGTAGGAAAAAAATTCTACACAACAAGAAAAAAAATCTGAGAGAAATGAATTTTTCTGATTCTCATTTGCCAGATTGTTTGATTATTTTCTCCAAATTTATTTTTAAATTTTGTTTTCAAGAATGATTTTTCCCCTTTTCCTTTGCTCTGCTGTTTATAAAATTATTAAAAGCTGATTGATCATTAATTTTTCATGTACATCTAAGTTGATCTGAGACTGGATAATTCCCAGGAAGGTAAAGCAAGTTTGGAGTGGGGGTCGGTTTTGGTCCACTTGATAGATTTTTCAACACACTAAAATTAGTTAAAATACTAAAGTTTCAACCTACTAGTTTTACATTTTCTTTTCCTCAATCTGACATGCATTTCTAAAAATATTTCTATTTAAAAAATTAGTAGCCCATTTTTATTTTGCAATTACAGTGCTATCTGTGAATCAAAATGCAAACACTTATAAGATAATATAAAGCATTATATATAAATTGGATTTTTTTCCAGAGAGTTCAAATCTGCAATAAAAAGGGAATCTCTAGTTAAGAATTTGAAGTTTTCTCCAGTCCCATGAGTTAGATGGGGACAGTTGATCACTGATTGCATAATTTGAAAATATTACAGATGTTCAGCTTTTTAACAGATGTATATTTTGCTGTATAGTTAACAGTTTACATTTTTTTTTCTTACATCTTGTATATTATAACATCCTTTTTTGTGGAGCAACTTTTAAATTTGAATCAAAAGTTTAAAAAGTCTAGCTATTAAGTATGAAAAAAAATGTGCATTGCACTTTTTATACAAAAATGTTTTTACAGTACATATAGTACATTGAAAGTAAGCTTTCATAAAATTAAAATAATATTAGGCAAAACCAGAAACAAAGTTTTTTTCTTTAAAAACAGTGAACATTTAAAATGTAGCTGAAAATTATGATTGTTTATGATTGTTATTGAATGAATGATTGTTATGTTGTTGAATGATTGTTTAGAATACTTTTTAAACACAAACTGTCAATAAAATTGTTAAAATCAAGAGACTATTAATGTTAATACATAACTGTTAATACATAATGAATACAATAAAAGTTAATCAAGTTATGTATTAATGTTAATACATAATACAATTAATACAAAACTTGATTTAATCCGAGATAATTTGAAGTAAACACAAAAATTACATCCCTTATATAATTTCTATGAAGGCTGAAAGTTCTCTGATTTATAAAAGCAGGGTGTGAAAAAACGGATCTAAGTTGTATCTTTAACAACTCTCATCAGACTCGGAAAAAAATTGCTTGAAAAATAATCACTTCATTTAAATTCATTAAAAACTGCTTTATTTAATTAAATTAATAAATCTTTAAAAAAAATACTTGAATCAGAGCTTTTGTTACATCATATCTGCATAATGCAAAATTAAAGAAATTTTTACTTGTCCTCTATTTTCCATTTATGTTAATATAAAAGCATAAATGCATGAAAAGTAATTCAATTTAAATTAATGAAATGATAAAGGTTAAAGAATGCAAAGTTAAAAGTATAAAATAATGTACCTGAGGTTCATATCGAACTACAATGTCATATTCCAGCGACTGAGGAATATCAGTGATGTCAAACTCCAGGTGTGATCCTTCAAACACCCTCATGAATCCTAATCCTGTCCATGTTGAATCTCTGTCTCCATAAGGTTCCCTCACTAAAACTTGTGTATCCTAAAACAATAAATGTTATGGAATGATAGGTACTTTATCTAAGTCACACTAGAGCTGCACAACAATTGGCGATTGTCTGCGAAACATCCCTGAGGATGATCTGAAAACATGCCATCGCAATTTTGATCCTCTGCAGAGGGGGGATGGCTCCCCTGCTTTATTATGGAATGGAGATATGTCTGTACCAATATATCTGACACTTTATACCCAGTATTTTAAAGTACCTAGCATTCAAAATGAATAAATTCTTAAATTAATGCACTTATTTTGTATCAATTCATATCTAACATGTAAGAAAGTAAAACTGTCAAACAAATGAAAAAAAATGACTTATTACACATATAAATGCATCAACTAGATCAGCGCTTCCCAACACTTTTGTCACCACAGATCGGTCAACGTTTGATAAATTTACCACAGGTATCTAAAGACGGGGCGGGGCAGACATTGATTGTTTATAATTTAGATAGCGTTGATTTATTAAATTTAATTGCGTTTAAAACAGTTACATCCGTAGTACAGATGAAACTTTAGGTGACGGACTTTAATTTTAAATTTATCTCATATAAGTTTTATCTCAGCTCCCAGTTAACCTCTCATCCGTAAAAAGTCACACAAACTCTAAAATACAACACAGTAAGTAAAATGGAAATAATATAGTGTTCCTTTGAGCAACCCGGTACCGTTTGATCCACAGGTGGTACGGATTTGAGGCTCGGAGACCACTGAGCTGAATGACACCACCGTTTTAAATTTTGTACCCCAATACATTCATTTATAGGAAAGAATTAAAATATCAACTTCACTAGTATCAGCTGAAATGGTACTCTAACTCAAAGAAGAATCGATTTCTTCTTTGAATTTAGTTCCAGCTGGACTGGCATTCATCTGTGCACTCATATCAACTTGCATTCATCTGTTGATATACATGTTACCGGCAAAGTCTATAGAATGCCTAGGCATTGAATATAATGCCTAAAACTAGCCAGCAATGTATGAAACGATTTATATTTCTCACATTTCCAAGGCATTCTACAGAATACCAAATGAGAAACTGGCAAAGTATAAAACACATCTCCGATTCGTCAAAATGTCATTCAAGCCTGCCATGTTGCAACAAATAGATTAGTTTCTTTTTTTTTATGTAAAATTTTTATTTGCCTTAATAAGAAAAGCATATGCTTTGTACAACGTTCTTTTTCCTTACGCATTTTTATTAAATTTGGTTTAATGGCACTCATTATTTTTTTAAAATAACATTTTTATTTTTGAGAAATGTACATCAATGTTTTTACTATACTTTACCTAAATAGCATTTGTCACTCTATAGAATGCCAAGGTATTATATACAATGCCTAGGGAAAGTGTGTAATAGTTGGTTACTTTTTTTAAACTGACACAAGAAAATTGATATTTGTAACAAATTTATTACCAAGAAGATGTTTCTGTCTAAGCAACAGAATAAAAAAAAAACCACTAAACAATATTAATAATCAGCATTTTCAACCTAAGTGATTGTTCATTAAACCTTGTAGATATAAGACGTGTAAGATGTGATATATTCATGGACATTTGTGCCTTTTTACTGTTTCCCTGAAATATAGATTTAAAATATAAATTGAAACTTACAGGTGTTCCTTTAGCAAGTTCAGCTTCAAAAACCATGTAGTCTAAATTCCCAGAAAAAAAACCAGCCTCAGGTTGATCACAACGTCTTCCACCAACGTGCGCTCGGCATCTGCACTGCCCAGTTATGACGTCACAGTTATTATCGTAAGAACCACCAGCATCGCAGTCACATGGTTTGCACCCTTCATCGTCATTGCTTAAGCCCCAATACTCTGGCTAAAAACAGATTGAATTTGTGAAAATACATTTAATATGACAAACCACATCAAAAGTAGATTTTGTACATTCAAAAAATTATGTTCAATGTGACATTAAATACATTCTATTACTATACATTACTATTCTTTATTCAATACGTTATATTACATTCAGTATATAATCTAAAAGCTGTGATTTCTCCTAACTTACAAGATTGGTTTAGTCACTTCATTGTTTTTTTTTTCTTTTTTGTTTCTTTTAAATAACCAATGTGAAAAATTCTAATATTATTAATAATAACCCAACAACAAAAGATTTATCACAAGTTTTAAAGAACTTAGTTCAAAAGAGAGGAAAATCTGTTTTAAATTTCAAAAAGATGTATATACACAGGATTATAATAATGCTTAGTCCAATAAAAAAAAATAGGGCATGTTAAAAAATAAACATAATAATGATAATTAATTATTATGATTAATATTAAATAATAAATATTAATAATTATTATTAAAAAATACTACAATTATTATTATAATAATAATTATTCCAAAAATTATTACAGTTGTTGTTAATATTAAAATTATTATAATACCAATACTATAATGCATTACCACAATATAACATGAAATAGACTACTCACAAGACACTGATTACAGTCGCGCCCAACGACATTCCTTTTGCACACACATTCTCCTGTATATACGTTACATCCATAGTTTCCAATGGTGCCAAGTACATTGCATGTACATGCTGAAAAGTAATTAATATTACCAAAGTTATTAAAAACAGCATAATAATCACAAAAATTTACATTAAATGCAACACACAAATTCGTACAAATACTGCTTTATACACAATTAATAACGTAGCCGAATTAAAAATTTTAAAAAGTAGGAATAAATTTACAATAATTACAGTAATCAACATTATAAAAGTACATTTTAAGAGGAATAAGAGTTTCACAAGTTGATAAAGGGTCTTCCTTTTTTTTCATTATTTTTTACTTTTTGTGAAACAGTTTAAAGAAATCAAAAATTGATTTTAAATTTTTCAAAAAGTTATTGAACATTGATACTAAACTTTCAATAAAATAGCTATAAAAATCATAATTCTTTTTTTCAAAAAGATAATTTTTTTTTTCATTCGATGACTAGTAAGTTTTTAAGAATATTTAATATTTTACTGATATAAAATTTCAAAATGATAAGATGCACTTAAAAATATTAAATGTAATTGTAATGTTTAAATAACATTTATAAAATGACTTAAAATCTTTAAAAAATATTTCTTTCAAATTTGCTTATAATAAAACAAGTTCCATTTTGATAAATCACCAGTTAATCAAGTAAAGGATGTACCCAGCTTTAATTGAAACCAAAAGTGCACAGATGTAACGTTAAAAGAAATTTTTAAACTCTTGTACTAATTTTTTAAAAGATAAGACAAACTATTTTAAGCACTATGAAATATGTATTATAATTTTAAAAAAAACATAAAACATTTTAAAAAATAAACAAAACACACACAAAAATACCTTGAAGATGGAAATATTTCTGAAGTCTCTAAAAAATATATATATATATAATTTGTCAAAAATATCAATTATCCTTTACTCACAAAAATATTACACACGAGTCATTTACCTTCGCATCCCTCAGGGTTTTCTGCCTGGAAATTCCAAAAGCCGTTTTTACACCGATCACAACGACGCCCGTCGACATTCCGTTTACAGTGACAACGTCCAGCAACCAGACCAGAAAGTAAATCGGTACGGGAGTCACAAATGCCTTCATCTAGCGAACCAGTAGGATCACAATCACAAGCTAAAAATAAAATCAATATATTAATAAAAATAAAACAAACATAATTACTATGTGCATGTTAGTAGATTGCAGTCATAATAAAATTCACCTTAAACTATGTGCATGTCAGTAGATATGACAAAACTCACCTTGACATATATTTGGGTCTCTGATGTCCCTTCCTGGATCTTGATAGAAAAACGGCTTGCACAACTCGCAATTTCTTCCCTGTGTATTGTGTTCACAGTCATCGCATACACCACCACTGACTCTTCCTGTTGCTTCATATACTGCATTATCAAAGTGGCATTTAGATGCATGGCCATTACAGTTGCATCCTAAACAGGAAACAAATTATGATGAGTGCTACATAATCATCAAAACAACATTAAAGAAACATACTATGGTTAATGCTGTATCAATATTTCAAGCAGATGATAATTGAAACAACATTTAGGAAACAAACTATGATTAGTGTAGGATCATATTTCAAGTTAATTTAAACAAATTAGGGAACAAACTTTGCTTAGTGCAGTAGCATATTTTAAATGAATGATTAGTAAAACTACAATTGGGAAACAAACTATGATCGGTGAAGTATATTTAAAATGAATGATTATTGAAACAACATTTAGATACTATGATCAGTGCAGTATCATACTTCACCTGAACGATTATTTAAGATATTAAAAAACAAATTATGCCATTGTAATACTTAAAGTGAAGAATTGATTAAAAAATAGTCTGGAAACAAATTATAATTAATATTTCATTTCAACTTAATTAAAAAATAGAGCAGTTAAAAATAAAGATCTAATGAATAAAATTTAAATACAATTCCATTTTCTCAATTTAATTCCGAGCATAACAAAAAGGAATAATTAAAAAATGGGTAATTGTATTTTATATTAAAAGGTTATTGCTTGTGATGAAAAGAAAAATCTTTATATGTTGGCATTGTTGTTTGCCATTCAGAAATGTTATTTTCTTTTGAGTTTCCTAGTGATGTCTAATCAGCTAACTCAAATATGCATTTTCTTGACTTAAAATCACTTAACCTAATACTCATTCTATCTTTTTCTCATTCTTTTTTAATAACCATATTTTTTGCTGTCAAATTAAAGCGCGCCAAAATCATTTATGACGAGCACAAAGGGAGCACAACATTCAAACTGTATAACCAAGTACTCTTTCAAAACGGGTTTTAGGAAAAAACAACAACAGTTCATAAATTCTAACCAAATTTAATGTGTAGTACTTACTTTATTTATATTTCTGTTCAGTGCAAAAGAAGATTATAAATTTGCTTTTTAACTATCTTATTATGTCTTTGTTGTGATATTGTTTTTCAGATTATTTTTAGACTTATGGCCTGAAAAAATATGATAATTTGCACCCCTGCCTTCGAAAGATGTTTTTACACACTCAAAAGTCACAGAGTACATTGGGGAGGTTCAGCATGAAATTTTTTACTCTCATTGTTATCAGCATATATACATACATATTCTCTCTTCTATCACAAAGTAACAAAATTGATGGCTCATGAAAGTTTGTTTTAAAACTTTTCATGACCCCTTGACTAAATAACCCTTGTAAAATCCAGTGAAAAAAATTCAAATTCAAGCGCTACACAATTATCAATTTTACGTTTTTATCCTTGATTGCCTTTCCCATTTTGAAATTGATTTCATCGACATGCCAGAGTTATCTAGGCTTTCTTACTGTATCATTATCATATTTTTTCACATAATTAAGCTACAAGAGTTTTTGGAGTTGAAAAGAATTTCTTCTGATAAAATACAGATATATTAAAACACACTACAGTTGCTACGTACAAACATTGTAATCTATATTATAAATCTCGAAGACTGTTGTAATCTATATTATAAATTACAAAAATTGTTGTAATCTATATAATACTGTCAGATATATTAGAATCTTATGAAATTCAGATATATTAGAACTCCCTATAGCTGTTAATCACAAACATTGTAATAATCTATAGAATAAATTACAAAGATCTTTGTAATTTATAAAATATTTCTTAAGCATATTTACTTTTTTCATTAAAAATTATTCTTTTTCTTCATATGATCATTTAACCAACTGAATTATAATTTTATGTAAAGATTAATTTTGAGCTTGTAAAGCACATTATTGAACACAAAATTAAATTTTTATTTCTTGAGCAACCATTTTAATACAGAAAGTAACTGAGATAAAGCTTACTTATGAAACATAATAGTTCTTAGTAATTTCTTTAAAAGTATGCATGCATTTCAATTTGTAAAAAGAAATCAAATGCATTTTTCAGTTACAACTGTTTGTATCAGTGGGTATATATTTATACATACAAAACACATAGCAACACCAATTATTCAAAAATATTCACCTTACCCCTTTCGTATAATCTGAAAATATATATTAAAAGGTATAATGCTTGGAAACATGATTAATGGGAATACTGCAAGTTGTTGTGAAAAATGAAAAAAAAAATCATCTTGAATACATACTTTTACAAGAATTCGTTTGTCTTCCTATGGCTGGACGCCATTTTAAATCATTGTAAAAATCTTCGCACTCCTCACAGTTGGGACCCTTAGTATTGTGGGTGCACTTACACTGACCATGAACCTACATAAAAAAAATTTAAAAAAAAACAATATAATATACATCTTGCTTTTAAAGATGAAACACAACACTTAGAGCTAATGTTTTGCTAATGCATAAAAACTGTTTATTAGAAATAGTCCTTTTCCAACAAAATCATTTATAATAAAACATTTATAATTGTAGAAAAGAAACAGTGAAAGATGAAAAATTTACCATATTTACACATATACATCATGTTTTTTATAATGTAGGAAAATTCTAGTCTTTAATTGCTAGAAAAAGTTACAAAAATGAGTCGATAAATTATAAATTATTCACAGGAATTAGTTGAAATTAAATAAAAAACAATGGAAATAAAAAACAATGGAATTCAAAAAACAATGGAATTTTTTCTTTATTGCTTCAACTATTCTTTCTTTCGAAAATTTCTGGTGCTTTTGAGTGTTTCTTTCAAAGAAAGTTCTGTTATTATAGAATTAAATATTTTGTATTCCTTTACAATAAAATTAAATCAATTTTTCATTTGATATCTAAGTATATAACCATACCATATCATGATTTCCTGAACCTATGGGATCTCCGGGTGCTGGTACACATTCACTGGCATGGCCATAGCACGAGCAACTTCCTCTTACAACCATATCATAAACAGCATAGTAGTATTTTTCTTTGATCTCACCTCGAGAATCTAACAGATTATCCCCGAGTGTATGAAGTTTCGTGAAATTGACTCTTAAATTAGTAACTTTCAACAAATTTTGAACATCAGCACTGTATGGGTCATCAATTGGAATGTTCGGAGGTAAGACTCTAAAGATAACCTAAATAATTAAACATAAAAAATGTTTTAATAATAAAAGTTAACCAGAAATTCAAATTTTTAACTACAAATCAAACAACACTGTTACCAGAGTTAAAAACTAAAAACTCTCAATTTTTTTAAAAATATCAATTAAATTTATAGTTCAAATGCAAAATTTCAACTTCAGTTACCTAATTTAAAATTTTTACATTTGAGATGTAAACTATTAACATGATCTTTTAAAATAGCCTTTGAGAGTCCAGTAAAAATAGCTTATTACCTAATATACAATTATAAATTTAGTTAGAAGCAAACTTAAATAGGTAAGCAATAAGTCAAGTGGCTTAAAAATTTTATTCTTAACAATTTAAAGGTACAATAATTCATTTGAAATATCAAAATAATAATTAATAGCCCTGTAAAAGTAGCTAGTTGAAAATTATCTTTATCAAAAAAAAAATTTTTTCATGAAAAACATTAAACCCTTTAGAAATTACACTTTTTAAGTATTTCACTTACCTCCCCCTCTGTAGATGGTTCTACTCCTGAATAATGAGATTCACAAACAACATCAGTGATCTTCTGCCGAGGTCCTCGAGGAACACCAGGAAAAGATTCACTGCAGTCATAGGCAAAATATTGGTAGACCTTAATGAAACATGCATGAATAATAAGTACTAACGTAAAAAAATTTAAGAGAATAGAAATTATGATACAAAAAAATGAATAAAAATTAAACATTTATATTGATTTTGATATTTTTGGTTAAATATTACATGCGACATATTTATTTAGCAATATGATTACAAGAGCAAACTCCATGGGATTTGAGGCAGCAGTAGTTATTTTAATAATTTTCAAAAATAAACTCTGTCCCTTCAACAATTATTCAGAAAAGGATTATACAAGGAAAAACAGCACTTGCTAAATTTTAGAATTCCTTCAGAATTTTTTTCTCAAAAATTTAAGGCTATAAAATTATGATATTAATAATTTTGCATAGGTAATTTAATAGTGAACATTTTTGTATTTTTATAATTTTTAAAATATACTTTTACTTAAAAATTTACTTTAACTGATGAAAATGGATTTAAAAGTAGCTGAGAAAATCTTTTAACGTAATAGCTACAAAAACAAGAATTTTTTTCAAAAATGTAAAAATACAGAAAATTACTTAATGTAAAATTACTTTTCTAAAAATGATGATTGAACATTTTGGCAAAAAAAAAAAAAAAAAATCAAGAAAAAAACACTTTATATCTATATTTCCTATTTTTATTGAGTTATTTTGCAATGTTCTAACAAAAGACTACTGAGTGTAACAACATGAGGAATACGTTGCACTAGCTGCTAGAAGAAAAATGGTTGATATTGCCAACTTCTTGACGCAGGAAGAAAAAAAAGACATTGTATTTTACATGTTTTTTTCTAATTAGAGAAACTATAGAGCATCAAATTAATTGTAGAAATCAATTTCAATCCTTCTTGTCATCCACTGTCATGAATTCACAATTATGCCAAATCATGACCGAAGAAGGCTCAAGGGCCAAAAAAGACAAAGCAGAAATTTATGTAACTTTCATTAACTCTAAAACACACTTGTTTTTATTTTAAACTGTCCCATGTCTACTTCAAAGTTCGATGCACTTACATGGCTACGTCTACTTTTGTTAAGTCAATATATAAGCTGAGGTTTAAAGAGTTGAAATTACCTTCCAGGTAGCTCCAAAATCATGAGATCTTTCAATCAACATGGCTGCAGGTCGAAATGTTTTGAAGGTTGTTATTAAATGAGTAAAATGGAACTCCTTGTTGTTTAAGTCAAGCTGTATATATACATTTTCCACTCCATTTTCCGATTGCCACCATTTTCGAGGTCCTCTAAATTTTTTACCAATTCTGCAAAAAGAATATAGAATATTAACTAAAATAAATAATATAAAAAGTAAAATACTTAGTAATCACTTATTTTGATAACAATAATACATAGTACATAATGAAATAAGAAACATATGCTGTATATGCCTAGAACTATAATAATAACTAGAAACTAGTTTGCGCATTACATGACACAAAAAATTGTTTATCAGAAAAGAACTTGTTTATTTCTTGCACAAATGAAAAGTAGAATAAATAAAAGCACTCTAAGAATTAATGATTACATAATTTCTTTTTATTTATTTCAATAGAAAATTAAACACTTTCTGCATTTCTTGTTGTTTTTAATGATATTATTTTTAAAATGGTAAGATATTTTGCCCATGTAGTTACTTGACAAAAATGTAGAACCGAGCTGCTATTTGAATGAGTTATGTAGTTTGAAATATAACTGTGAGAACTGAACAGAAAATATAAAGCAAAATAACAACTTTATCTAATATCATTAAAAAAAAAGAAGTGAATTTTTTATAGTTTTCGATTTAAACATTAAACTCTAAATTTTGGGAGCAACTTGGTTGATTTTCCATACAGAAATCTGTGCTACTCAATGGTGTTACCAATTTATTAGTGGCATCTTATTTTTAATTATATTTTAATTATTGCTTAATAGCACTTTTAAGTTCTGTTGTATGGTTACTTAATTTATATGATATAAATTTTTGATTATGGTTTTAAAAGTAATTTTTGCTCTTTTTCTAATGATTTCTGTTTTATTTCACTTGAAATTGACTTTGCTTCTTGAATACATGGAATAAATTCTCGCACTTATAACTTAATCAGTTTTGTAGTTTCATTAATTGTTCACTTAAGAATTTTCATTTTCAACTTTTCTTCTTCTATTGGCATGACAACCCTTTGTGAGCCAGAGCCTTCCATAGAACATTATTCCATTCTGCTCTTTCTTTCAACTTTTACTCAAACTAATTATTTTGGGTCTGTTAAAAGAGCTATTCTGTTGATACTCTCTAGAATTTTATAAGTTTGCTTCATCTAAAGGACTGCTGCTAACGTGAGTATTTCAAGGTGAAGTAACATAAAGCTCTCACACTTGTGAATAGGAAGCTTAACTTGCTTCAAAAATTAAGGTAGAAGAGGTCAACATGATTCGAGGGCTCAAAGCAGTCACTCATTATCAAGACCTGCCAATACTTGAATGACAAAAACAAAACAGATAGAATGAGAGAAAAACTTTTTCTCATCATTCATGTGTTGATGGGTCTTGATTATAGGCACCTATGCTGAACGTGTGAAGCTTGTCATGATTTTTCTTTTTTTTTTAGCTAATGAAGTCTTCCATTGACAGATACGTTTTTTAACTTCACACATTTCACATTCTCTTAGTTTGTTTGCAGCTGCTGTAATTTTATAAGTCTGCTACATTTTAGAAATTGCTGTTGACAAGTGTACTTCAAGAAGTAACACAAGATTGAAAATTTAAATTATTCATTGAAATTTGAAAGGTTTTTCACACAAAATATTTTATGATATGAACATAAGATACATATTAACATTCTGCTGAAGTGTCCGAAACTCATACTTTTGGTGGTTTGACAGATTTTAAATCATTACTAAAATTCAATCCATAAAAAACTTTGACAATATCTTGGACATCTCTTGATACTAGTCACCACTGAAATCAAAGTACTTCAGAATGGACAAAGCTGCAGGAAACAGTTAGAAGGGCGAAAAAATAGGTTATAATATTGTTTGAGACTAATTAAAGTGCTAGGATAGCAGAAGGAGTAGAAGAATTTGAATATTAAAATATGATTGAACCATAATCATTATCAAGTGTCATTTTATCAAAGATTATTATGATTTTACTAAAAATTCATAATTATTAAAATTAAACAAATAAATGTAACAAAACATATTAAATTACGTTGAAACTATATTTTCGATGCCGTGGTACAACTTGGGAATATCTTTATTTTCAGGAACTGAGTGACACTTAAAGCACTTTTTCCGTTCTTTTAAATGGCTTACGATGCAAAATCTTTCTTCTCTTTTAGTTCCACAAGTAGAAGAGGCTGTTAAATATTTCTCACGTCCGATCAAGAGATTACCAGTTGCAGGGTAACAACTTGACTCTTCACAGGCATGGACAGGGGAAAAACTTTGAGATGGAAAGACTGAAATACAATAATAAACATCACTATTTCATTTATGCCAATTGGCAACACAACTATTAAGAAAAAGATAACTATATTATTTAGCAATATTTGGACTTCCGTAGTATCAAACACAAACAGTAGAATAAACTTTAAATAATAAAAGGAACTAAATGAATACAATAAAGAAAATCTTATTTCAAAATTGAAGGAATTTTGTTTGAAAAACTTACAGTTGAAAAAAACCATTGTTAAAAAAAATATATAATTTATTAAATTAATTTAAGTAAAAGTTTATTTTTGAACTGGCTTTTCAATCAGGTATTTTTCATGTGAAAGGGGCATACTATTAATTACATTATGTGTATAAATATTAAGTTTCACTCCGAAGTACATGAAGTCTGTTATAACTTCAAATGTAGCATATACTTGTAGTAATAGTTTATGTAGTATAGTAATAGTATTGATTATCAGTTTTGGCAAACAAGGATTGACAGTACTTTGGATACTTTATCTTAGATCTGCCAGGATGCTTTCAATCAATTTTCTTAAAGAATTATCTAAATATGTTTATTATTTTTGAAAACATTGTTCCTTACAGTTACTTTTACAATGTTAAGATGCATATAAATTTTTGTAAAGTTCATATAAAAAAAAATTTACATAAAAAACACTATTATTAATAAAACTCTGATTTTCACAAATTGGTATTGTGAAAGCTGAGATTAAACCACAATCCTAATTGTATTTTCTTGAAAATATTTAATGGCAATATTTCAAAATGAAAATTTTTGGGAAGTAGAGCTTCAGATTACTATTAATTTCTCTGATATAATGACCCTTCGAATGTAATTTTGATTTTTCAAAATTAAGAAATAAATAAATGACAAATTAAGAAATAAATATCGACCAAAATTTAAACAAATAAAAAATTTTAAAGATTTTTTTTTCCAAAACATTAGGAGGAAAGAATTTTTTTTAAATAGTAATCTATAATGTAAATCTATATTTTTATTTTAAGGACTATAAATTAATGTTTCCAGAAAAAATAAAAGTAGAGGTCAAAAAATTAAGGTTGTGCATGACACCTAAAAAAATTCAAAGTCGCCAACACCATGCAATATTATAAATAATCCATTTTTTTAAACCCAAAACTCTGAAACATTTCTGTTCAAAAGAAAAGGGAAAAAATTATTTTTCTTAACACTTGATCAGTACATTCTTAAAATCTGTCTTCCTTATTAAGTCTAATGACATCATTATCTGCAATGGTTTCAGTATGCTAATCTGTACTTATAATCTTATTTAAAAATGAAAAAAGACCATTTTAAAAATTATAAAGTTACTTTCAAATAATACAATAATGGCTTTAAAAATTTTTACTTTGATTTTTGATTTTAATTTTTGATTTATTTTTAAAATGCTCTATGAATTTAAAATAATTACAAGTCAATCTGAAAACACGCAATGTCAATTTAATAAAATATAATTAAAATAATCAAAAGCTACTATGAATGCAACAATGCTTACAGGAAGGAAGGAATGCTGAAAATTTATAACAATAACATTGGTTTTAGTTTCAACATCAGGTCTCTATCCATCACAGAAAAAACTTCTTTTCAAGTTCCAAAACCTTTCCTTTTTGCATCAGATCTATTTTTAACATCAAAAAATTTTCTCTTAGATATAGTTAAACATTTCAAATGTCGTTAGGTGGTTAGTCCTTGTTAGCAGTCATGTGATATCAGTTGTAGTTAGACGCTAGAATTTTAGCTTAATCCTTCAGAAGCTTTGTTAATTCCATTTGTAGTATTTTTAAGAATTATTACCGTTTAACGATAACAGATAAGATATAAGCAAATTCAGTCCATTTCCCCAGCAAAGTTAGAGCTATAAAATTATTCAAAAATATGAAGATATTTCAACAAACTGTTTTACGCTTGATGATCTCCATACGAACTTGAAGCATGATATGAAGTCTCCTAATGATGAAACACCTAAACTTTCATTGTCTATAATATGTCAAAAAACTGCATAAAGAATATTTATTTTCATTGAATTTTATTTTACAAAAGAGAGATCTGTTTTAATTAAATACTTCAAAATTATAATTACTACTGGAAAAAATTATAGTGTACAAAAGAACCAATAAAAGCAATTTTTGTTAAATTAGAAGAAAAAAAACAATATGTTTCAAGAGTTAATGAAATGAAATAATATTAATTTAAAAGAGATATTTAAAAAACAGTTTTAATATTACACCATTTGATAAAAAGGAAAACTTCTTCAAGAGAGGGATATATTATTATTAAATCCGGTCAATTTTGGAAGAAGTGTAAGCACAAACTCCAAAAGAAAACATAAAACAAAATTATAATTATAGTATTCTCATTGCACCTATAGAATAATAACATAAATACTGAAGTACCTATGCATCAAATTTTTTTTAAATATATAATTTTATTGTTATAATAATTTTATTTGAAGATATTTCTCTTTTTAATAATGACATATAAATGAACATTTAGCTTTCAGGCCAGACAACTGGTTTTTAATTTTTTAAAAAAAAAGTTAATGAGGTAAGACAACTATTTACTCTGAGGTTTCTCCTCTTTTTTTATAAGCCAGCAAGTAAAATTTTTCAAAATATGTTAAAATATAAACAAATAAAACTAAAATAAAAAATAGATGGTGAAAATACTAACTTTAACATTGAATTAAGCATGAATCTATAAACTATATAGGGATCAACTAAATATAAATAATTTTGTCTTAACTCATGAAGATAATTAAATAAAAAGAATCATGCTTTACAGAGATTATAAATATACTTATTCAATTTCACAAAATGAAAAATTCTGCTAAAGATTCGTTAATCAACGAAAAAAATTTTGGTAAAATTTTTTTCAAATTATTTTATGACAGATTAATACCAAATAATAAAATTGATTAAAATTGCAATAACATTAATACATTTCCAAATTTACATGTCAACACACAAAAAATAAAAATGCATTGTACAAATCAAGATAGAATTAGTAGTTATGTTACAATAATTAATTTTAGAGCAAAAAGAATGTGAGAAATGCAGCATCTCATTTTTTTATTACACTAATAATAAAAACCATATATTAAATAATTGCAATCTAGACTTAAGTTCTATTTTTAGAATGAAAAAAATACACAAATTTAATTCTGCACTCTGTTAATTTTACTAATTTAAAAAACTTAATATACATTTTGAGATCTTGGATTACAACACCATTTTAATTGGTAATAAATTAATTGGTACTTATAAAATAATAAATTATACCAACTTTATTTGAGCTCTATACAAATTTAAATATAGTAATAAGAAATGAAAAATAATGTGTGTAAATATTAACTACTAGGACAATACAATTTATAAAAAATTGTAATAATTTTCTTCTAATTTTAAAAACTAAATTTTAATGGCAAAAATATTACTTAATAAACAGTTGGAATCATTCATACAATCCTTCTAGAATAAAATAGATTCAATTAATAAGTCAATTGATTATTGATGAAAGACAAATAGTCAGTTAAAAAATTTTAATAATTTTTAGAGTATTGTAGGTATAAATGCAAATTCATATTTTTTAACCTAATGAATTGCAAATAATCTTGTAATTAAAATAAATTGTAAATGTTAAGTAATGCAAATAAGATTCCATTAAAAAACTTGATTATAGATTAAATGCCTATCTAAAGTAACATAAAAATATTAACTACTTAAAAAAAAAATTATTNGTTAAAAGAATTAATTAACACTATTCTTCAGACTCGATCGACGGGACCTAACAATTATTTCGCGTTAAGCGAAATTTCGTGATAAGCGATTTCGCGTTAACGGGGTTTGACTGTATATTTCTTTAATTTTGTGTGTGCAAGCATTCAATATGAAGATTATTTATTTATTTATTTTCTTATTAAAAAGACAATGTCTAGTCTTGTGAAAAGTGTATGATCAAGCAAAATTAAAGAAATGACATAAGGATTTTATCTACATTTAAAATTTACTTTTGACTACACAAAAAAAAACGTATATTCAATACTTTTTAAAAGTTTTAAAATAGATTTAATAACATTTTTTTCTCACATTACATTACGTTCTTTTATAATAAGTAATAAACATTTGTGATTAAAATACATAAAAGAATTAAAAAAATCAGAAATATATTATTATATTTATTGAATATATTATAAATAAAAACAGTGAAAAATTGTACTACTCATATTTTAAATAAAAAAACATTGCCATAAATTTATAAACAATTATACTGCAAGTGATAGAATAATGAAATTAAAATATACTGGTTATGTTAATGTGAATATTTTTTATTTTAGTCCAGATTCACAGTATTTTGAAATGAATGAAAGTTTAAATGAAGAAAGGATATACTTTGTGAATAACATGATTAAAGCTAAACAATCTGAATAAAGCACAAAAATGGATATACTATAGTGCTCCGATCTATCAACAAGAAATTTTCTCATCAAGAAAACAAAATTTATCAATGTCATTATTAAGGCAAACCAACATATGTGAATAACATAAATGTTAAAAACAGGAATTAAAATATAACAGTATTTTCTGTTAAAATAATTAAAATATAACTGTATTATTGTATTAATTGAATACCTCTCTCTCTATCTCTGTCAGTCCATCGCCTATCACCTCTTCCTCGCAAATGACCATCTTCAGAGGCCACTAAAACTAAAGCAATATTTTAAAATTAATTCTAAAATTATTAACTTAACAATTAACATTTTGGCAATCTCTTTTAATGTTTACATTGAAAAGGCTAAAAATGTAAAATAATTTGTTAAGACATAAAATTAAAATAATTTTAATAAACAAAAATCAACCTTTGAGATATGGGGTATAGGGGAAAAACATTCTTCCAATTTTGGCCTTTCTGTAAACCCCCAGTGGGTTAATGTCCAAATTAATTGATAATGTAAGGTTATCCGAAGAAATAATGAAAAGAAGAAGCATGTAAATTATTAACTTTAAAATAGACAAATAAATAAAATAGAAATGGAAATCTCCCATGTAAGAATTTTTCTTTCTTTCAAAAATTGCAAAATATTCATTTTGAGATTTAAATAAGGAAATGTATTTACTTCAAGCTTAAAAGTACTTTTTGATAGAGATCTTTCTCTTTTAACCTAATAGTGACCGTTCAATAAACAAAATATTCATGGGACACTGTTAATTGAATTCAAGATAAAAAAGAAAAGCCAATTACCAAGAAAAGCTAATTACATTTAAATAAAATAAAATATAAAAAGCAACTTAACAGGGTAAATAAAACAACACAAAAAATTAAAATATATTAAACTGCATCAAAATTAGAACAAAAAAATTAAAACGTGTCAAAATATATTAAAACTTTAATCAACGAACAATATATTTCAAATCTGCAAAAAATAAAATATAAAAATTAGTTCAAATTGGAAATATTTTTATATCATCATCGTTACACCAATCAATCACCAAGACATCAAAGGGAATTTAGTCTTGTAATATTTTTAAAATAACATGTAGACATTTGCCCAGGGAGGGCTCTTTCAATTAGTCCCCCTTCTGTGAAGTTTGTTTGAGTTTCACATGGACCACTGCCAAGAAGTTGCCAAGATTCGATCAGGATAGATTCTGCAGATCACGATACGAAAGTTGTCTCTTCAAATTGGAAGCAATATTTCCATTGAAACTTCAATTATAAGTATATTTATTAATAAATTTCTGTATATAAATTTACTACATTTGCTTTTTAAGTTAAATAACAGTTATATAGAAGCATATGAGCTATAAAACAATGAGCAATTATAACTAAAGCAAAAAAATTAAAATAATATATATATATATATATATATAGGTATAAATGGAGTTATTTATATTTTATGTAATTATTTCATGCACAATCTTAATGCATAAATAAAAACAATTTAAAGGTTATTTATAATTGAATTATTTATTATATGTTAGGCGAAAAATTTTGTATTGGGAGCTATAATTTATTTAAAATAGCTACATTCGTTAAGATTTTTAATGGAACACACCTTATTAAATATTTAAATTATAATACTTTTTTAAACATTTTTAGAAAATCTTGAAAATGTAAAAAAAAAAAAAGTAGAAATTATAAATTAAGAAAAACAATAAGATACTAAATGATAATCATAAAAATTAATTTCTATAGGATTTTCACAAAATTAATAATTTTTCTGAAAGTTAACTCCTTTTAATTACATTTATTAATATGTATAATTAAATTTTTAAACACAGCCGTTCAGGATCGGCAGAGTAAACAAGTTTAGAAATGTAAACAAGATCAAAAGTATATTTTGCAAGGAAAAGAGACTCATTTATCTATAATAATTAACTTACCTATCAAAAAAATAAATATATTGATGCTCAACATTTCTTTCAATCGGAGCATTTTGCCGAAGTTCTTGAAATTTTCGGCAGAAGAGGTCTAAAGACCTCAGCAGACTTCAGAAACACAGCCCTGCTTTCTCTTCGAAACTACCTCTCCCTTTCCCCTTTCTCCAAACGACGGTTCAAGTTAGAATAAACTGTTTGGAAACAGAAAAAATTGTTAAAACAAGGAATAATTTGAAATCAATCTAAAATGAAAACAATGACATTGATTTTGATTTAATATAATAATAATAATAAAAGCATATGTCACTGAAAATTATCGTTGATACTTTCATTTTTTAAAATCAATTTGGCTAAAGGAACTGAAGAAATCGTTTGCAAGGCTGCGGGAGTTTTAATTTACTTGGATAAAAAAAAAATTCTATTTTTAAATTCGATTCTATGTAATTCGCGATTAAAAGTGAAAACTTAAATAAAACAATGGTAGCTTAGGGAAAAAAATTTAATTTCACGAATGTTAATGAAATGACTAAAATTAAATACAATCTTCTTTAAATGATTCGTTAATTTTATGTTAATTATTATTGATATTTTATTTCATTTATGCTTACTAATATTTTATTTCGTTTTAATCTTAAAGCTTCAGACTCAGATAATTTTAATTCCCCTTTTATTTTTACTTTTAACTTAAAAAACAGTATTGTTTTAATTTTATGAAAATTAAAAATTACTATTTATTATTATTATACATGTAATTAACAAGAAATATTTTTATTTCATTAGAACTATAAATATGAACCACTTAATAAATTCGAAAGCGTAATAAATGTTCTGTACAATAATAATTATTATCAATATTTTATTAATGCATACATGCAGCATTTAGTTAAAATAAATACATAAATTTATGATTTATTGTTTAATATACCTTTTATATGAAATAATATTTTAACTAAATTATTTATATGCAAATAAATTTTTCCTTTTTTTTCTTCTTTTTTATCACTCCAATCAATGCTTGAATACAAAGGCGAACAATTTTGAGGTCAGAAAGGGCAAAGGAAGGATTAAAATCATCAAAAGCTCTGTTTATTTGTGTGGCGGAATTAGAAAGTAGTTGGAAGGAGCTTCCAACTACTAAGGCTTTAAACATCAGCCTTAGGAAATTTAAATTCGTTTTAAAATCTTAATTATTTCATAAGTCATAGTTTGCAAATGTTTAAATTCTTTTCACTAAATGTTAATTTCGGCATAACATACTTATTTCATTTTATGGAAGGATTTTGAAAGTCATTGTTTTATGTTTGAGGTTCTAAGAAGAAAGAAAATTTTTAAAAAATAAATAAAGAACAAGAACAGATAAAAATATAAAAAGAAATAGTTCAAGTTAACTCTTTTACTGTTGTAGAGATCTCTAATTTATTGTAAGTAATATTATCAACAGATTCTTTATTTCAATGCGTTGATTTGAATTAATTTTAAGAATCAATTGAATAGCCATTGGTTTTAATATTCTTAATGTGAGAGAATGCGCGAAACTATAACTCAAACTCAGAGTGCTCCATAATAAGAGTTTTTCAAATAGAAGTTCAGAAAGCTTGTGAAGTAGGAAGTCAAAGAAATATAAGCATTGAGCGAAAAAGAAATGACATCAAAATATTGCGAATCACTGTTGAGGAAGGCGAGCTCAAAGCCATCAAATCCTGTTTGATTGCCCCAAGAAACAGAAAGTAGTTAAAATTTGATCATTTAAAACATAATTAAGCTTTCTTCGACTTTCTAACTAGTTTGATTCTCCCTTTTCCTCAATAGTGATTCGTCCGTTTTCGATAAAAAAAAATTTCTGTGATTAAATAATAATTCGTTGTTTATGCATTTTTACATCATTTTTTTAAAGGATTCTAAGAATATATATTGAGAATGATAATTATGGAACATCTTTATACTTTGCACTTTTAAATTAGCATTTAATGAGTAATCTTTTTTTTCTCCCCGTAGGTTGTTTCATTACTCTGTAATGATGGTTTTAATATTTTTTATAATGGGGAATACCCAAAATCAAAGTGGATGAAAAATATTCATTATAGAGGGGTAAATGTCAGCTTTATATCCCGCAGTAAAAAATTATCTCTCGTATAAAAGAAATTATTCGTTTTATAGCCCAAAATGAATATTATATCTGTAGATTGGAAAATGTCACTTTTATTGTCAATCATGAAAATCATCCTTAACACTGTGGAAAATATCCGTTTCATAGTCTAAAGAAAAAAGGTATAGCTTTTATAATAAAAAAGAAGAATGTGAAGTAACATTCTTTTTTTATGTTTCAAGTATAACAAATATAATTATTTGGTGCCTTAGCATTAATATTAGATAAAACAAATTTTCGTTCTAAAAAAATATGATCCAAAAAGTGAGCATAATTACCATCGATTCTATTTTATGAATAAATCCTCTCAAAAAATAAAAGTCATGAGTAAAAATTTTCAAAAAAGTTGTATGATGGGTAAAACACGTATATTTATCTTCTTCATCTAGAAACAGTTAAGGCGGCCTTAATGTTAATCTCTTATCCTTTTGATACATGACAGAAATGTATCAACAGATTCATTATAAACCTTGGAAGATGAGTAAATTGAGCAAAGATTTGAGATATGAGATAGGATGGACTTTAGGAAAAAAGTGACGTCAAAAAAATTGTAGTTTTAGTGTATGATTCAATAGTGGTTCATTTTTACGATGAATAAAAAGTTTCTAATAGCTGATAAGTTTCGAAAACTGATAAATACTTAGATGCAAACTAAAAATAAGTTGTAGTAGTTCATAAAAAATTTCATATTTTAATAACAATGAAAATAATTCTAATTTATTAAAAGTAATTATAATAGTGTTAAAGTAATAATAATTATAATATATTAAAAGTAATATTATTCATAATTCGCTTGTATGTAAGTCACCCACATCGACAAATAGTTTTTTGAACTTTAGCATGTTAGCGGGCGAGTTAATAGCTAATTTCCAACGCGTTTTTCTCGAAACCAGAATTTAAAATGAAAGTTTTATCGTCAAAATATGGGAGTTACTTCACGATTTTGAACTTGAATATCCATAATGTTAAAAAGCGTAAAATTTTAAATATCCTTTTTCAGTAGCGTAGTTTGGGGAATAAAATCCTCTCCGATAATGTACATTACTTGATGAATGGGCTATTGTACAGAACGTAGGATATAGATATAAAAATTTGGTTCACATAAAAATAAATTTGTCTTTTAATTGGGTACACTAATAGCCCACGTCACAGGTCGTGTTATTCCTACTAAATTTAACCAGTAAGCGGTATTTTCTGCGAACCTGACTTCTAGCAACAAATAAACATGAAACGAAGTTTGTTGTAATGAGTCGGCTGCTCAGTAGGTTGGAATTGTATTTGTGTAGTTCTTTCTGAAATAATTGATTTTGTTCTTTTTATCTAAGTTTATGTATTTAGTAAACATATTTAAACTTAATTTATGAATGAAACTAAAATTCCTAGCAAAATTATCGAGGCAGAAGTATTTGTGTTTTTATATTTTTTTACATTCTACCCAATTCTTTCTTTCATTGTTGTTGCCTACAATGTTGTAATTGAACTCAGATAGCTGTTATTTTGGTTAAAATAATGATTAGAACAGAATATTTTTATTCTCGATGTATTACAATATCTTTGAACTTAGAATTTATTGATACTGGCCATCTGGAGTTGTAATAAGACATTTGTCTGTCCATTATAGGTGAAAAATAAGACTCAATTAATTATAATTGTATCAAACTGAATCACTGAATTTGCAAAAAATCAAATAATAAGAATTTGCTTCCCCGTGAATTAACTTGAAGGTATATAGAAATAAGAAATTTCACAGTCAACAAAATAAACAGAAAAATCAATAGGTTTCATTGCTTGGAGCTCAGTAATTTGATTTCTGTTAACATCTGGTAGCAGTTACTCCAATACCACACGTAAAATTGCCATCTAATTATTTTCAGAACGAGATTTCGAACCCACATTTTACAATGTATAAATTAAGCTTTTTTTTTTCAATAATTACCAAACATGATGTTAATTTTTCTTTTCTTTTTTGTAACAGAAAATTATTGTTTCTGCGTTGATTATTATTTTTAAGAAGGAGATTTAAATATTTCACAAATTAATTTATTATTATCGAGATATTGAGGATAATTTAAACGCAATTCAGTCACTCTTGCTCATCTATAGCCGTTAACTCTCGTCTGATGGAGAGAACTCGTTGAAATGGCATTGGCCTGTAGTAGAATGTAGTGCAATTGAAGAAGAAGAAAAAGTTCCATTTTTATGCATTAATTTTATTTAATTGTTTATTTTGCCTTCCTTGTAAAGCTAAAAGTGAGTTGGCTGTTCAATGCCTGTTAGAAAAGGAAGTAAAACCTTCATTACCTAAAATATTAAAGTAATAGTTATCGTTTCCCGCATTTATTGCATAGCTATTTTTACCATAATATTTCATATTTCATTTCTCTTAATTGTTATAATATCACATGTAAAGATATTACTTCGCTTTAAAGTACGTATCTTGTGCCCCCACCCCCTCTTTCACGTGACAGAATGGCAATTATTCAAATGTGGTCCACGGAACGACGGTTGTTCGCAGAGAGCGAAAAAAAAAAAGTTCAGCACGATTCTAGAATTTTTCTTTCTTTTTCTTTATAAGGAATAAGTATTGTTTACAACAAAAAAAGCTTGAAAAAGTCAGGCCTTTCTAAGATTTAGTGCATAAATCTTTATTTTTTATTCATTTATTTTTGTCCCACTTTTTTCTTTTCCATCTCTCCATCCATTGCTACTGATTCTTTATCATCCTATCCTATGACATTTGCCCGTAGAACATACCCCACGCATCCTCCTGCTTGTCACTCCCTGAGGGCATCACTAGGCCATTCTATTTTATTTTTTTACGTGTTTTTATAAAAATTCCCTCTGAAAGAAAGCTAACACAAGTTTCTTGACTTTCACGGAATTCTCTCACGGCTTGTCAGAGATAAGAAATTAGTTTATCACCGTTATCCTTATCGAGAAATATAAGTAGGCATAAGTTCTTCCCTTAAGTCAAAGTATAGGCTAACTCAACGTTAATAAATAATCAAAAAATTTATTTTAAAGTTAACTTT